ATTGAATGTTCATCTTAATTGTTATTGTTGAACATGTAATATATTTTTAAAGAAATAAAACAGTGACATAATAACTACAACTTTATGTGAGCGCGAGTAGCTTTTTTGGAATGAGATGAATAAGTCTTATAAAGTTGTAAGCTTCTTCACAACCGTGTAACTATGAATTGACTTTATTTGGTAATCAAAAAAGAGATAGGACCTAAAATAGCCAAATTTCATACGATTTCACTTGTCCACCATCTTGGATGCAAGGCGAAAACATTTCAGCGCGTTTGAAGCCACTGAGAATGCCCCCTGCAGAGTTGGACGAACATTCTGCGGTGGCGCGGCTGAGTTGACCAGAGGCTATCAGCAGTATTTCCTGTCCAGGTTATTTAGGTCAGTTGTTTGTGTGTGTGTGTGTGTGCGTGTGTGTGTGTGTGTGTGTGTGTGTGTGTGTGTGTGTGTGTGTGTGTGTGTGTGTGTGTGTGTGTGTGTGTGTGTGTGCGCGTGCGTGCGTGCGTGCGTGTGCGTGTGCGTGTGTGCGTGTTTGCGTGCGTGCGGGGGCGGGGGGGGGGGGTGGGTGAGATTGGGGGAATAGATGTTAGATTTAGCAACAAGTAAGGTCATCTTGAGTGGGAAAGTATTCACAGATGGATTAGCATATGAACTATGATTCTCTTTAGGCAGAAAATGAGGATCCACGATGTTCGACCTGGTAGAAGTGTGTTATCAAACCTCACAGCATTGGTTTTTTGACTGACTGTATCGTCAAAACAAACTCATTCATTTACTTGAACTGAATGTTCATCTTAATTGTTATGGATAGTCACGGAGCCATGATCCAGAGTACAGGGTGTCATTAGATAGAAATAAACTAAGTAATAATAGGATTACCAGAAAAACGGGGTTTTACACGTAATTATGTATGACATGCTTGTCGGGTATTGCTACATATATATGTGAATACAAAGTTATTAAAATGAAGAGCAAAACTGATGAAAGTTAACAATAAACGTGTATACGTGTTATATCGTCACTGCAAAAATAATGATTGTTTGTCTTTAGTATTAACATTCAAATACGTTATATCTGTATTAGCGATATTGTCTTTGTTCCACCGGTGAGTCAGCGTTAGCCGTACTATCTCGTAGTATAATTGTATTTCTGAAGACATCACGATACAGTTTTTACGATGCATCACGTCTGCACTAGCGCTTGATAACATCCTTGTGTTTGGATGTTTCAGTGGTTTAAATCGCTGCTCTTGATATTGTTGATTAAACTTTGATACTATGAACAATATCATGTTATGTGAGAGGTTGACTTTAGAACGGTAACATACTAATAGTATATAGGATGACATAAACAGAACAATGAGAAGTTCGTTCAGATTAGTGTATAGGCAACATTTAATAATTAAAATAATTACATTCAACAACTCCCCTTTTAAGTCCATTTTCCTGACTTATAAGTAAATGCATGAACAATCGGACGGAATACAATTTATAGTTCTTGTCCACTTCCATATGACTATTTAGCATACAATAAGCTATCGGGTCCCGTTTAGATCGGTTTGGGTGGCAGCCTAGATAGCCATAGAATAGTTTCATCTTGGAATCTCCCATATTACTGGGGATCCACTTCAATTTAAATGGAGTTACTCGTTACGATTCCGAACCTTCACGTGACTGTGTTTATGAACCATTGTCAAATAGTGGTGACATTAAATCTAGGAAACAATACACGAAATCGCGCATGCACAGAACGGAAAATTTGGTCAAGGCATTAAGTAATTCGCATGCGCAGAACGATTGATTTCAGTACTTCCGCTAAGCGCTTCGAGTGCAGCGTCAAACGCGGGCCTGTAATCTAACACGCGGGGACTGACCAATGAAATCTGAGAAGTAGAAATACCGGTAGACGCTGTTGCTTGGTTGACAATGTCAATCAAGAAAGGGAGGAGCTTAACGCTATCGTTCTCTCCCAGTAAATTCCGATGTCAAATAACGACGTTATTTGGACGGAAAAACGATGGTTTGAAAACGTCCAAATAACGTCGTTTTTCCGTCCAATGACCATATACGGAAAAAAACGACGTTTTCGTGTTTGCAGTGTGACAACCAGTTGGGTTCAAGGACAGGCGTTCATCCCATAGATTTGGAATCACTTCGACAACCAAGGCCATCGTACCAACACTCACCTAGAACGGTGGCACAACAAGATAAAGAGACTTGTCAAGAAGTGCCAACCGAAGTGCCGATCTACGAGGTAGTGAAGCTTTTTCAGCGCGAGCAGTCACTCACAGAGGTTGCAGTCCTGAGACCCTCTCACCAGTGGTCAGAACAATGTGGCTTAGGCGGCCTGTAACCGTTTCGGGGGTGCCCCAATCCACAAGAAAAAAACAAAAGTGTGGTCCCAGACGCCTGTTCCATCCGTGCCCGCCTTAATAAGCATGATGTATACTGTGTGTTTTCCCCTTTGGTTATTTCAACCATGGCGTCTGTGGCAGCCGTGTGTGCCGGCCTATGCTCACCTGTTCCTGCAGTGGCGAACTTGTGCCAGGCTTTCTCCGAATGTTCAGCGTAGATCTACAGTAGAGAATTGATCGAGATAAAGCGGCCCGGAAAGTTAGGCATTTTATTGATGCGTAGCTTTTATATAATCTTAAATTAATCTTACTCAATCAAGTTGTTGCTTGAAAACTTTCGACCAGCTTTTTATTGATGCGTTGTCAAACGGAGTTTAAGCAAATCTCGCATTCAAATTCGGGTTGGTGAATTCATTTGAAGTAATGAGGGATTATGTTCCATATAAACTGACTCCGAGCTTACCAGTCCTTGATTTTTAGCCCCTTAATGCCGAGCGCCAGACAGGGTAACAACAAATACCATCTTTTTACGTCTTTTGGTATGACGCGGCCGGGGATCGAACCCCGGACCTTCCGCTGTCCGGCGGACGCTCTACCAGTAGACCATGACCCGTGAAGATCCGGGGTAGAAGGGTCTTCAGCAAACCATGCTTGCCCTAAAAGGCGACTATGCTTGTCGTAAGAGGCGACTAACGGGATCGGGTGATCAGGCTCACTGACTTGGTTGATGTTTGTCATCGATCACAATTGCGTGGATCGATGCTCGTGTTGTCAATCAGTGGATTGTCTGCTCCAGAATATTGCTGATTGCGGCGTTAAACAACATACCAAAGCTTATCACCATGTATTAAAATACGCCATTGTTTCAGTGCAGTCATGTCAGTCTTGGACTGCAATATAGATATACACCATATGTTTGAAACAGAATAGGGACAACGTGGGTTTTGATGAACACTTGCTTTTTTAAACATTATTTCACTCATATCACGGAGTCGTCTTAATGTTTGACGATTTTGTTCACATTGATGAATGACGAGTACCATGTATCTAACCATGGATCCTTATCGATGAAAACTTAGGAATCAGAGGATACTGGAGTGGTAAGGGCGCGTAACTCTGCACAGCGACTTGGGGCGTAGCGTTCAGATAATCTTTAATTTAACTCTTACCCGCTCAAGTCGTTGCTTGAATATTTCCGACTGGCTGATATGCGCATCAGTCCTATGTTCGTGGCCCTCTCTTGACGCAACAAGGCAGATAACTCCGATCCCCACGACTATGTTGAGTAGAAGTACAGTGGCAGCAACAACTTTAGGGAGTATGCCCATGATGAATGACGGAGTGTTGAGCCTTGCCTGAAGCAAACACGGGGGTAATGATACACAAAGTAACCTTGTGACGGAGTGAGTTAAAAAGTGAGTGAGTGAATGAGTGAGCCTAGCCTGAAGCAAACACGGGGGTAATGATACACAAGGTTACCTTGTGACAGAATGAGTTAAAAGTGAGTGAGTGAATGAGTGGGATAATATTATTTTATGCCTCAGTCAACAGTTCAGTTATATCACGGCAGTCACTCTTTATAATCAGAATGGTTACATATAGAATCACGCTTCTTGAAGTACTTAAACAAATCAACTTTGAATATCAGCTTTATTGAATACATGATGAAAACTAAATATATGGCTATCCTTTATGACATGAGTCTTCATATGCGACGCCATGCGTTGAATCAGAATGAGTGATTTGAATTTGACCCCGCTTTAAGCTATATTCCAGCAATATCACGGCGGGGGAAACCAGAAATGGGCTTCACATATTTTATCCATATGGGGAGTCGAACCAGGCTACCCCACCGTCCACGATGAATCAAAATCAACCATTAAACCTTTTTCATTTGGGAGTGCATTTCCAGTGAGGAAATATATTTAAATGATGTTCAGGAAATATCCCAACCATCTGCGAAGTCAGTATACTCGTCATTCACTTCTAAAGAATCGTTATCCATAAAAATATAAAATAGAGAGAAACAGCGGCACACAACTGATGTTTGTTTCGATATGTGCAAGTACATACAAAGATATTTTTACGACGTGGCAATTTCAGTTCTTTCATGATAGAAAACAGAATACATGGGAAATAACCCGCGAAGGTCTTCAAAAACCCATGCTTGCCGTAAAAGGCGACTATGCTTGTCGTAAAAGGCGACTAACGGGATCGGGTGGTCAGGCTCGCTGACTTGGTTGATGCATGTCATCGATCACAATTGCGTGGATCGATGCTCATGATATTAATCACTGGATTGTCTGGTCCAGACTCGTTTATTGACAGACCGCCGTCACATAGCTGGAATATTGCTGAGTGTGGCGTTAAACAACAAACCAACCAACCAACAAGGGAAATACCCAATTTCACGCATGGTCTCCAGTCCTCGCAGAGTTGTCTCCCTTTTATCACTTTAGCCAGCTGTCCTATTGCGCAATATTTATTTTTCTTGGGTGTGACATCAGGATGCTGTCGCAAGGGATACAAAAGCAAAAAGAGATCAATTTCTTGCGGTTTAATATTAAACCAGATTCCGGTTCTTTGCTTCTCAATTCAATAGTATTACTAAATAAAGGACTATTTTTAAACAAAGAGTTATACTCACAAATAGAGCTTGAATTAAAAAAGCCAAAGACACAGCCGGTTCTCCAGTAAACTCACATAAGATACCATCCAGCACACGTAATCTGTAATACGTCTCTTTTAGTTAACATTATACCAGTATGATTTTCACAGTGAACACACAATCAGGGTTGTGGATTCACAAGGAAGAAATTTGGGCAAACCGTTACGATTGTGAAAGTAGGAAAACAGCAGTTGGCTGAAATGAGTCAAAGTGGGAATACGTAATCTGCTCAAATTACGGACTTTCCTGAAAAAATAGTGACACATCATGATACATTGTGTCATACACTGTAAACTTAGCCCCACATCTTAATGATGTTTTTGCTTAAGCGACTACTCATATATTTTGGGGAGAGGGGGCTGGTAAGATTGAGCATGAGAGGAGGTCATAAAAAATGAGACAGTGCTATTTGTTTCAAATAAGAAAACATATATGTTTGAACATTACGTGGGGACTGGTCTTTTATTATAGGGAGGAGCATGAGAAGATGTTACATTATTTGAGGGCCATAACAACATATTACGTAACATAGGGATGTGTCACCAATTCACCACCGCAATCCCATCAACTGTGAGATAGCAGGCAATCTCATTAAAACCAGATATTAGTTATAAAAACAAACAAACAACTTAACAGACACAGTTTTATTGCACGCAATTTTAAAAGTAAATGGAAATGTATGTTTATAATATTTGCGCAGTATTTGGCACCCCTCCGGGGCTCCAGTAAACTCACATAAGATACCAGCCAGCGTAGTCTGAAGTAGATCTCTTTTATGTATTTATATACCAGTAACATTTCCACAGTGAACACACAATGAAGGATTTAGATTCAACAGGAAGAGTGTTCGGCAAACAGGCACGATTGCGAAAGTAGGAAAACAGCGGTTGGCTAAAATGAGTCTATGCGGGAAGTGGGACTACGTAATCGGCTCAAAATAAGAAATCGGACTTTCCTGAAAAAATAGTGACACATCATGATACATTGTGTCATACACTGTAAACCTAGCCCCATATGTTGAAGGAAGTCTTTTGCTTAAGGGACTACTCATTCATTGTAGGGGAGAGGGGGCTAGTGAGATTGAGCGTGGGAGGAGGTCATTAAAAATGAGAGAGTGCTATTTGTTTTAAATAAGAAAACGTATACATTTGAACATTACGTGGGGACTGGTCATTTATTATAGGGACGGGCATGGGAAGATGCTACATATATTTGGGAGACATAAGCACATGTTACGGAACATTGGGGTGTGTGACCAACTCACCACCTCAATCCCCTCCCCAGCAAAAACACGCCCGCCCACCCACACCCGCCTACAATAAATTACGTCTCAAAAGATCTTGTTTTAGCTGGCTGTAACTGTGCATCTGTGAGATAGCAGGCAATCTCATTAAAACCAGATATTAGTTATAAAAACAAACAAACAACTTAACAGACACAGTTTTATTGCATGCAATTTTAAAGGTAAATGGAAATGTATGTTTAATAATATTTGTGCAGTATTTGGCACCCCTTCGTTGACTGCAAGAAGGCCAGTTCACCCTGATTAAGTCCCTTGGTCAGTCAGCACTGAGTTCGTGGATTTCACTTAAGCCGTAAACATCTAAGACTTGCATGACTTGGTCTTTCTACCGCCATATTAAACTGACATGCAATGATAAAACACATTTTGAAGCGGCATTATATCCAATTCACCCAAGATCACTGAGCCATTTCCATTTTATAATCTGTCGCTAAGGCGAACAAATCAGGGAAAAGATTAGTTTATTATCCATGGCCATGTTCCACATATTTACAGTTCTACTGATGTTTTGTTATTTTACTGACGTACACGTTGCTTCAAGATTATGTCTGACCGTCAGTTTACCGCAAAAGAAAGCGGAATTGTACATTTTGTTATACATGTACGTGTTGAAAAATAATTGCAAGTGATTCCATACTGGATGTTTCCATAAACTGGAGAAAACTGTGGGCCATGTCCACTAACAGTGAATGAGTGTGTGAGTTGGGTTTAACGCCGCTTTTAACAGTATTCCAGTTATATCACAGCGTGTCAGCTTGACGTGGGAGGAAAGCCCGAAGTGATACAGTTCTCAGACGTTTACCACTTCGGTGAAACCCTCGAGCACGGGTATGGTGCTGACAAACCTAGAAACATAATTGGGGCGTACCGGGATTCGAACCAACAATCACAGGTTTCTGGCGTGCCCAAGGGATGCAACTCATCACAGCGAATCGCGGCACCTTAGACGACTGGGCCACCCGTACCCCTTCTCCACTAACAGACTGTGACTTGATTGGATGACATTTCCGCTTGTTACCGACTTGTATCAAGGTTGTGTTCTTATTTTTCTGCTTCAATTGATCTGTAAAAGTGTGGATGTGGAGATTCAAAATAAGTTTGAAAGACACCAAAAATAAGAATTTAGGGAAAACATTCTGCCAACTCGATTGCATGTCCGTACACCCATCACAGGTACACTGGTACATTCTATGTCCGCTTCAATCACTTTCATCCCATTTCTTCACCGACATCAAATGTGGCAATGTGGTGGCACAACTGCAATACCTTCAGCACAACCCTATTCATGTGGGGATTTAAAACAATTATATTACAGAGAAGAAACGGACCATGTCAACAAATTCATGATTTGTAACAACTTTTGATGAATTTGTGCACTCAGTTGATTGTTGTGCCATTTCCCAGAAATGTAGGAAATGTGTGATAAACTGATCGATTACCGCAGATTCATATTCATAACAATACTCATGTGAGGATGCAAAATGTTTCTAATACACAACAGAAACTAGTCAAGTAGAAAACAACACATTTAGCTAACCTTGTTACATTCTTGTACATAACAAACAACACATAGACAGGTAACTTCTATGTCCGCCTCAATCAATACAATCACATTACTTTTGACAGTTTAAATAAATATGTCACACTTACAAGTTTACACAATGTCATGTTTATTTTATTTCCTATGTGAGGGCGTTATAAATAAGTGACTTCTTGGAGTCAGTCATGGTGATGTCCACCCCGCTGACCACCTTCATGTTGACTGTGCAGACATCTGGCTCCCCAACACCAAACATGGGGAGAAGAGACTCCCTCCACTCAACATCCAACTTGGCTAATACAATCTCCCTGTGGAGATCGATGAAGGCGAGTCTCCCCCTCCCCACATCCAGCACAACGCCATAGTGGAGGGTGGCCTGTGTGCGGGGTGTGGTAGACATTGTGTTTCTGTAACACTCCCCCAAAATCCCCTGCTGACACACCCTGGTACAGATATTCCCCCGGTCTGTGAGACAGTCCCATACACTGACACACCAGGAGCGGCGCTGGTCAAAAACATAACAGTCACTGTCCACTTGGCTCTCCTCCCCCACACCCATCTCCAGGACAGGCCAATAGAACCCAACACCCACCACACCCACCCTGGAGTGGGTCTCCCAGTATCGTGGTGTGTGTGGGGCAGGGGTGACATTAGAGGGGGGTGGAGGAAGGGGGATGGGGGTGGAACTACAGGTGCCGCTGTATCTCCGTAACCTGCCACTGTCTATGTATGTCTGTAACCAGCCGCTGTCTCTGTGTCGTGTGGCGGGCGGCGAGTTGACCAGCTCACCGTCTGTAGTTACGTGGCAGTAGTCTGTGTTGGCTCGAGCAGCGTCCAGTTGTAGTTTAGGACCTGGAAATATACATTTTGTTTATAGTTTACCAAATTTCCTGTCTTCAGATAACAAATGGAGCAGCTCATTGTGAACCTCGTTGCAGTGTTTACAAAACACCGCACTGAACGATCGGCTGTCAAGTTCGTCTGTCTGTGAATTTCATCGTTATTGTGATAAAATACGAATAATTTCACTGTAAAAGTATTTATATTGGTATTTATAATGTTTTACATAAATGTTTGTATGGATTGAAAATGAAATAAATACTGCATAAAACATGTTGTTAGTTAAGCTGGTCTGCTGTCAGTAGTCAGAAATACTTGCTGCCGGAAAACGCATAGCTATCTTTATCACGATATAACTATTATTGTTACTATTCTAAAGTCTTCTTCTACAATTTTGTAAACAATAAGACAGAAAAAGCTGTTGTTTGACGATATTTTTACGCTTGAGTGTTCGACAGACACAGAGTGAACAGGTAACTTCTACGTCCGCTTCAGTCACTGGCCACAGTTTCAGCACACTCGCTGGACGGGGAGGTTGTCGCGTCATGTGTTGTGACTTGGCCATGTATTTGTGAATTATTTCACACATAATGTTTTTTTTATTTTTGTGACATATTTTTCAAAGTGATCAGTTTCTTATATCTCTACACAGTTCATTACAGATTCCTCGAGAAAAAGACACTGATACTGACCAGTACGATCATTACTATCTATAGGTTAGGCCGAGACGACCCAGTGTCTAATCGTTGAAATGATAATTAAACCGTGAGGCGCGCAGAGTTCAGTTATTTAACCGATTCAACGATCAGCAGCTGGGATCCGAGTGGTCTAACATACTAAAACATTTATGGCATCTTAAATGCTTAAAAAAACAACTGCCCAACTGTGAGAACACTGTGTGAGGTGGCCCTGCGTGAGGCACGTGAAATGTGTTCCCCGAGCCTTTCGCACGTGCACTTCGCACTTTGCCGATTTGGGTTAGGAAATGCATGTCCCGGGGCAAGTATACCATTCATTTTGGACCAACTCGAGCACATTAATTATCAATCACCTAAATATTACTTGCCCTTGTTGATGGGCCTATTATGACCAAATATAGCCTTGATCAAGATAATAGTAATTTATTTTCTATCTGTTCGTTTCGTTGAACGAAAAGCTACAAAATCACAAGTACTGTACAAATACTAGAATGCATAGAGTATGCATAGAGAATGCACTGTATAAACATTGCATTAAACACAGTTCATAAAGGGATAAGGCAATTGGTGCTGATATAAGAAAATATTTATTTGTTAATTTTCTTCCCTTTCTCCCATGTCGCCGTGGCAGAAGACTACATTCGTTAGCCTTCAGTGCGGGTTCGAATCCCGCTGTCGACAACGTTTTTCATGAAATTATTCTATCATCAAGATACATGGTAGGGAATAAAAGAAGTTCAGTTATTGCCAGGTAGTGTTAAACTAACAATTCAGTCAGTTTGACCACAGACAAAGGGGCCATGGTTAAAAGATTTATTTAACATTTAAGTCAATGGGTGAACATACAGCGTAATTGATGACACATGCTTATTTCATTGTAAATGGCGAAATAGCTGAACCAACTTTTTATCCATTATCAACTCAAACCCGTAAATATTCAAATATGTATACAAATTTAAGTATAAACTTTCACCTTTAATCAGTGATCAACCATTTCCAGCCTTCTCTCTACACTAAATTGTATTATCTCTTCTCGGCGTAGACGAAATGATTTATTATATGAGGACATTTTTCGATAAATATTTTTTACTGTTTCATGCAGTATGATATTTACTGCAGCGCATCAATATATTTACATGCTATTGTTTTAAGTGTGGGCTTCCATCTTACCGAAAGCATTGACATTAAACAAACTAGCACCAGTAATTTTTTGACAAACAAGACACATGAGCTAAGACTTAGTTCTAAAGGTTAACAAAGATAATGGTATTATCGGCCCTAGTTTTAGCCATTATACAACATGAACCTTTGTTATATTGAAAGAGCGTGTTCAGCTACAATTGAGAAGGGAGAGCCAGGTTTTGTTTTGTTCGTTTGTTGTTTAACGCCGCACTCAGCAATTCTCCCGCTTTAGTGTGAGTGAGTGAGTATGGTTTTACGCCGCTTTTAGCAATATCACGGCGGGGGACACCAGAAATGGGCTTCACACATTGTACCCATCGGCGTGATGAGCGAACGCTTTAACCAGAAGCCTACCCGACCGCCCTCCCCGCTTTATAACGGCGATCTGTAGATACTCGAGTATGGACCAGACAATCCAGTGATTGACATCATGACAATCGATCCACGCATTTGGGATACGATGACATGTATCAACTAAGTCAGCGAGCCTTACCACTCGATCCCGTTTGTCTCCTCATACGACAAGCAAGGGTTGCTGAAGACCTATTCTAATCCAGATCTTTCACGGGCCGGGAGAGCCGGGTAGGTCTTGCACATGTTTGTACCGGCGAGACGCATATTAAAGTCGTTGATGAACAAAATCACGACTAGTTTTCCAAGCTTCATGTCATCCTCTTGACGAGAGATCTCCGTGGCTGTTAGTGACGAAACTTAACTTCACGGGTGGACAACATCAGTGCACGCAGTACCGTGTCCTGTGTTTAAAGGGGAGACAACCTCAGTACACACAGTATCATGTCTTGTGTTTAAACAAACCAAAATCACGACTGGTTTTCCAAGACTTATGTCACCCTGTTTTTATAGCAACTGACGAAAGATCTCCGTGTCGCAGTTTACATGGCATATATGACAGGCTTGGGCGTTGTCACTTTTCTCGCCCTACACGCATCTCGTTTGGTCAGCTCTTCTGGGACACAAACGCACGCCGTGTGCACACATATCTACCAACCTGCAGACGGGGACATTAACTACTCGTTGCTTCCTCGAAGTTGTCGGCCGCATCGTGAAACTTTTACGCCCACTTTGCTATTTGTCTTAAAGCGTTTTCTTGGAAGTGCAATTTCAGTGTAACAGTGTAATCTATCTAACGCCTCTGCCAGTCAGGGCAATACTAAGTTACTCACTTAAAACAGCATACACTACAAGGGATCAAATTGTGATATATAGCATTTGTGAATGCCATTTACCCAAGAGGTGCAACGCCCTGCACCAAAAAGTATTTTCTGTAATGTCCCCATCGTCGAGGGTGGTTCTTAAGTCTTCAAAACAAACTGGATTTTCATAAAAGATGTTCAGGAAACAATGTGAGAAACTCGACAACGTCCATGCGACCAGACACTAGGAATGTCCAGAAACTACAGAAATGCACGCAGTATCGTGTCCTGTGTTTAAAGGGAGGTCAACATCACGCAGTATCATGTCCTGTGTTTAAAGGGTGGACAACATCACAGCACGCTGTATCATGACCGGTGTTTAAAGATTTAACAATCTCAGCACAATCAGTATCAGTCCTGTGTTTAAAGGGAAGTCAACATCATGCAGTATCGTGTCCTCTTGGACTTTCTTTTGTTCTGAGCTGAAAGTGCTGGAGGTAGCTAACGATCCAACACCATTGGCAAGTTTTGGTAAGATACGTTTCATTGGTTTGAAAACAATAACAATACAAAATAAAGTAGCTATGTATATCCCTTTAGTTTTCAGGCTATGTTTCATAGGCTATATTTTCATAAGCACAAAATGCCAAACCACAAATAGGTTTGAATAATCTTAAGATGACCTTGTAAGCTTTTTTTGAATATGTATTTGAATAATTCAATTTTTCACAGATTTCAATTTTCAATTTGACATGATATTATGATATGTGTAACTTTAATGGTTAAAGATCTGATACACAATGAATCTCCATCAGTAGTGTACAGCAGTTGAAGGGGGAGGAAAGTTAGATTGGGATTTTTCTTTAAACCACTGTAGTTATTGAACTGCCCCAGAGTTGTCTTTGCAGATATTTTGTTGTGTACAAAGATTGTGTATTCCGCTCGTGAAACCAACAAAGTTCTCAACATCTAACTGAATGTTATATATGTTTGAGTGCATTTATGTTTGTTCTTTTATCTAGAAATTGTTTTGCAGATGCGGGTGTTAAAATCCAAAAGGGCGGACAACTTCACTACACCAAATATCATGCCCTGCGGTAAAAGGCCGGACAACATCACCACACCAAGTCCCATGCCCTGTGGTAAAAGGGTGTACAACACCACTACACCAAGTACCATGTCCTGTGGTAAAAGGGTGTACAACATCACTACACCAAGTACCATGCCCTGTGGTTAAGGGGCGGACAACATCACTACACCAAGTCCCATGCCCTGTGGTAAAAGGGCGTACAACATCACTACACCAAGTATCATGTCCTTCGGTAAAAGGGCAGACAGCATCACTACACCAAGAAATTTGTCCTGTGGTAAAAGGGTGGACAACATGACCACACCAAGTACCATGCCCTGTGGTAAAAGGGCGGACAACATCACTACACCAAGTACCATGCTATGTGGTAAAAGGGCGGACACCATCACTACACCCAGTACGATGCCCCGTGGTAGAAGGGCAGTCAACATCACTACACCAAGTCCCATGTCCCGTGGTAAAAGGGCGGACAACATCACTACATCAAGTACCATGCCCTGTGGAAAAAGGGTGTACAACATCACTACACCAAGTACCATGCCCTGTGTTTAAAGGGCGGACAACATCACTACACCCAGTATCATGTGTTCAGAACATGGACAACATGACTGCACCCAGTACCGTGTTGTGTTGAAAATGGTGGATGACATCAGTAAACCCGTGCCTTCTTCTGTGTTCAGAAGATGGTCAACACCACAAGACACAGTACATTGTTCCATGCCTTGTGTTTAGGAAATGGAAACATTACAACACACAGTAACCTGGTGGATTTCAGTGATACACCAATCACTTCATACTTCGTGAAACGTTCTCAGCAGTGCCCTGTCGACTAGGAAAAGGCGCTTCACCCAGTAACCTATCCTGTCCGTTAAGGTCGAGCAACGGAACATGTAAAGTGTGGAACACGGTCAAGCACGCATATGATTGTACTCACACTGCAGAATCACCGGTGTCCTCGTTCCTGTTTCCAGAGTATAGGTTTTAACACCCGCATCTGCAAAACAATTTCTAGATAAAACAACAAACATAAATGCGCTCACACATATATAACATTAAGTTAGATGTTGATAACTCTGTTGGTTTCACGAGCGGAATACACCATCTTTGTACACAACAAAATATCTGCAAAGACAAATCTGGGGCCGTTTAATAACTACAGTGGTTTAAAGAAAATCCGAATCTAACTTTCCTCCCCCTTCAACTGCTGTACACTACTTATTGACATTCATTGTGTATCAAATAATTAACAATTAAATTTACACTTATAATAATATCATGTCAAACTGAAAATTTAAATCTGTGAACAATTGAATTATTCAAATTCATATTTGGAAAAAGGTTACAAGGTCATCTTAAGATTATTCAAACCTATTTCTGGTTTGGCATTTTGTGCTTTTGAAAATATAGCCTGTGAAATATAGGATGAAAACTAAAGGGATATACATAGCTAGTTTATTTTGTATTGTTCTTGTTTTCAAACGAATGAAACGTATCTTACCAAAACTTGCCGACGGTGTTGGATCGTCAACTACCTCCAGCACGTTCAGCTTAGAACAAAAGAAAATACAAGAATCACATAACAGTAGGCTTGTTTTGAATATGAGATACAGGCGTCACTTTAATGTACAAACTATTACGAACATGACATGTACCAAGTCAATCGTGAAATGCTAAATTTAATACACCAGAAATAACGATTCGTATGTACACACGTTTACTGAATGAGAATACTTACATCTTTGTATTTGTTTTCCAGGTCAGTTAGATGGCTATCGCCTGTCTGTGAACCATGATCTGTACAATAAACACACACAACTGTTACAAATCGATTTACTATTTGACTGTTCCCTGAGGTATTGTTGATAATGTATAAACAGCTAATTAGCAACCCATCTTAAACTGAACATCAACAAGAAGACACGAATCTTCTATAATGTTTGAAATGACATGTTAACTCAATACGATAACACAGTATTCAGTTCTAATCCATAAAAAGGTTAATTTCATGTTTTCGTGTTCTACCAACTTCTAAAAGCCAAGTTAACAAATACTTACTCTTTGTTTGTTTTTTGAAAGCTTCAATCAATCTCCATATACGAAATGAACTATCGCCAGAGTAAGAAGCAAGTACCTGATTGTGTATGCGCCTGAGCTGCTGATCCATCTTCATTGACAGATCCGAAGTCAGAAATGTAGGATTTCAATTTCACCAGGCCCCCTGTGTTGAAACTGGCTGCAGATGCAATGTGTGTCTCTGGTGGAACTGATCTGAGATGCGTCTTCGCTGTGTCTTGTATCGACCACTCCAGTGTGAGAAAGTCAGAGTTTGAAGCATACTTGAGCACTGTCCTGATGTAGTCTGAGGTCCACTTGCATCTTTTACTCTCGCCTTCAGAAGTAACTTGTACAGTGTGCAGCTTTGACAGTTCCTGCTTCGTCTGATTCTCCAGATCTATGACCAGCTCCTTCTCTCGTTGATCAAGTTGTGTCCTCAGAGAATGGAAAGTGTGGTGGATGGCCTCCTTAAGAGCACTACTTGTATTCTTTGTGTCATTTACGACTTTGCTGACGCTCTTCAAATATGCTTGGTGACAAGTATGATGTGCTGTCACGTTCTTCCCATGTTGTTCTATCCGTCCTTTTGCAGCATCGGCAGCCACATCTAAATCCTCAACGTCGTGCTCGGAATGCTCTCCAATCCTGCATTTGGCACAAATTGAAATGTTGCAGTTTTTATCAAAATACTCAAGAGGATAACGATTGTGAAGTTTGCATACTGGTTCTACAAACATGCTCCCCGGTGCCATATCCCGAAAGGTTTCAACAACATGTCTTCTGGTAGCTTTAACACCATTGTGCATGTTCTGGCAGTATTCACAGAGGAACTCTTCACACTCCTGACACCAACACACAGCCTGATTTCCATCATCTTCATTTGTACAAAGAAGCTCTGTGGGGCGATGTTTGACTGTCAGGTGGAATATTTCCTTCTGTCTGACTGCATCCTTCTGGAGGCTTGTGTCTGTGAGGTTGACCTCCCACTGACATGTAGAGCATGATATCACACCACCAGCTGCAGATGTCACACACGTCTCACACACAGCGTGTAGACAGGGCAGTAAGTGGGGGACTGGACCTTTCAGGGTAAACTGCTGCTGACAGACAGAACACTTCGGGAAGGTGTCCATTCTGAAACATAGAATAGCGTTGTATCTATTACAGCGAGAACATTGCATTAAGCATTGTAATAATGCGAACAGATTATCAATAATGGCACATTGATTTCACGAAAATAATGGACTAAACCTAAGCACTTACACTTGATCCATGATGTATTTGAATTAAAACAGGCAATCTGATTATTGAATACATAAAGATAAAGATTCCTTGAGACACATGTTGTGATATTTTATTGTTGAATAATGATGCTGGTTGTTAGAATGTTTTCCTAGACTGTCTTTCTTATTCTGGTGACACTGAATGTCAACAGGGCATTGTGCCCAAAGCATGCCTACTGATGCGGTGAATGCTCTAGCAAACATGAAGTTATCGGAACCGTCATTTGTATTGACGTCGAAATGCCACCAATCAGACTGCATTAGACTTATGAATTTGCTGTACCGCTCATGAGGACGGTTATGAACAGATTGGTCGTGTGATACACATAATTGGAAATTACTCTATTTTGTATCTGTTTTTGTCTTTTGTCTCAGTAAAATTGCAAAAAAACGTACTTAAAAAACAGATCAAATCTCTAAACATTGAATTAGAGGAGGTGCCGATGCCGACGTTGTAATAGCCATGGCCATGTTCATTGGAAAGTCATACTGATAGGTACAAAGGGAAACTATCTTTCTTTTCTTGTACTACCTACCAGCATACGCTATATACTCCACCCGTACCTTCCTCTACCTGTGCTACCAAGCAGCATACACTACATACTCAACCCGTATCTTCCTTTTCTTGTACTACATACCACCATACACTAAATACTCCGTCCGTACCTTCCTCTTCTTGTACTACCTACCACCATGCACTATATACTCCACCCGTATCGTCCTCTTCTTGTACTACCTACTACCTTACATGTACACTATATATTCCACCCGTGCCTTCCTCTTCTTGCACTACCTACCACCATGCACTTTTTATTCCACCCGTATCTTCCCCTTCTTGTACAGCCTACCAGCATACACTATATGCTCCACCCGTACCTTCCCCTTCTTGTACTACCTACCAGCATACACTATACCCTCCACACGTACCTTCCTTTTCTCTTACTACCTATCAGGAAATATTATTTACTCTGTCTGTATATCCCACACCTTGTGCTATCTACCGACGTACACAACTCACTGCACCCGACTCTCTTGCACCTTGATCAACCTACACGAATATCCATAACCCCTGAACGTATAGATATCCCATTGGACTCCGTCACAGTTAAATCTCTATAAATAACCCGTCCTACATGTAGCTTGCCTACCTAATAGAATATATTCAAACTATGTTGTCGACGACAGTGTTCAATACAAAGCCGACAGCAGTCAAGTCACAACAAGCAGGTTACAGATTTATCCTTGTAAAGAAGCGGAAAGTCTCTATCCCTAATATGTGCCAGTGTTAAAACACTGTATAACTCTAACAACTTTAGGTAAAGTTGTTAGTGTTTTGTAAGTGTTATAGCGTATGCATCGTGCATAATATACTTCGAGTAATGGCGTCTGAATTGGAAGTGAAAATGAAAGGTTTACTTGATTGCTCCGATTCCTCGAATGTGTAAACTTATATCAAGGCCAAAAGGAACATATAATTTACTATAACGCTGATTTACACTGACAATATATCTTTATCAAGACACTTCTACTCATTTATGTCGCGACAATACAGGACACACCTACCTGTGAGTTTATCTTCCTTGTTATACACGTCACTTCCGGGTGAGACGTCTATGCGCGGGCGTCCTCGAATTGTGATAGAATATGTCACATGACACATAAACATGAAAAGCGTACAAACTTTATTATTTGATATAACTAGTAGTCCATTCAAGTTACATTGAGACCTGTATTTAACAGTAGTACTGTTGTGCCGTGGCGGGTCAATGTAATGTGGGAAGAAAGCCCAGCACTAGGACTGCGTTCCTAAAGTACAAAAGCAGCTTAATGCTATATTTCGATAAATAAATTTAAAACAGTCAAATAAATTATTTTCCTAAATATATACAAGTGACACAGAAAATAATAACTTCAAAAGTTTTGCACATTTGCAATAACCTCCAACTTTATTTGTTGATATTGTATGTGCTCAAAATTAACATTCTTGTTTACACTGGCTGTTCAATCAAGTCATTTTGTTAACTGATATATCTGGGTACAGGTGCTTGTACATGGGTATATATCACTGTGTTGAGATACTCAGAAGAAATATTTGTTTGACGCATGTCTCGAGGGGTGGGTAAAGTGGTTTAAGCGTTGGCTCGTCACGAATGAGGTACGGGTGTCTTGATAAGGTTGGTTTATAGGTAAGATTGATCACCCAACCAACTCTCACTAACCTACTCACACACATGCCCAGACACACACAGCCAACACCCGCACACCAACCAAACCACACGCCTGTGTGTTCTACACATTCTCTATCTATACGTGGGTGAATAGTAAATATTGGTCATTAGCACTTTTTCAACAGTGTGTCTTCGTTCACGTGAAGGGTTGAGTGAGAATAGCCACGGTAACAGCTGCACTCACAGAGTTGTCCCCCTTTGACCGCTCGTCTTAGATTCGTTGGGGCATATACGTTGGGGCATATAGTTTCCATGACATGACAAGGGCGGTATTTCAAAGCAACTGTTACAGAATTTTCATACGAAGAATAAAACCATTTATCACCAAAACGTGTTTTCACAGGTGATCACTATTCTCTATGACCCCGAAGGTGGTTGCTACTGCACATTTTTAGACAACGGTTACTACAAGAAGCTGAAAAAGTTGGAAGAATTACCCTGGATGGTAAATAGAATCTCACTGAGTGGCCTTCGATATCAAATGTTGCAACGCGCAGTAGTAAAAGTTTAATATTCCTCGGCAAGCCTAGGAGTTTTAAACTGCGGTTGCGTCATAATAGTGTGTGTGTGTGTGTGCGTGTGTGCGTGCGTGCGTGCGTGCGTGCGTGTGTGTGTTTAAAAATTATTTTAACAGAAATCGTTTAAACGGAACAAAGCGGAAGTGATATTCTGTTGGTTAGTCATAACTCAACACTGATTCATTGGTAGGTCATTTATCGAGATTATTTCCCTGTACAAAGTACTCCCTCATCAAAGTATATTCATCACACCTCCTCACGCATATGTTTAACTAACTATTATTAATAACAACATTTTTCCCCAATTGGCTAACTGTTTACCCGCATTGTAAAAATAATCATTTACTAACTTACGATGTCAAGAGGTCACCTTATAAGACCAATATACATATTAAACGAGCACTGCAATTCGCCGGAAGTGGTTGTTGCCTCTGTTATTGTCTTTTTTCATTGAGTGCCCGCGTGATATCCCAGAAATATCGACTAGTTTGCGACATGTGTTGTGCCAACCATAAGCGCATTTGTCGCTTTTATTTGATGGTATAAGGGCGTATCGTCACATTGATCACCAAATTGAAAAACAGCTGCTAAACAGTTTTGTCTTCGAAATAATAAGGAAATGTAGGTATTTTTTGGGTAGAATAAATAAGTCACTTGCTTGGTATTGTGAGATTTTCGTTAACACTATTTTGACTTGTAACACAAACTAAATATTTAACCCGAGCATTGCTTACTTTTTCATGCTTATCTGTTACAGTCAATGTGTAAAATGACATATTTTCACTTTGGCAATTTATTAAACGCCTAAATATTAAGTTATTTTACAAATAGACTTAAACAACTGTTCCCTTCATTTATTATGATAACGATTTCCAGACTTTTTTCATCATCCAGTGACAGAAAATGATAGGATTAAAAGAGAACGAAAATCAAAGCCCATTTCTATATTGTATGGCCTCTAATACGAGCATAGATAGTCTATTGTGATGTTTTAAGCATTTTTGAACCTCTTAATAATTGCCAGTCAATCTGTTAAATAAAAGGACATATTTTGAAGACAATTTGTAAAATGACTGAACTATTTAGACATTTTTTTAGATTGCCAGAGTGAACCACACTTCACACATTGACTAAACATACACGCCTACAAACTGAAAGGCTTAGTGTTGTCTGTCGCGCATCGAAATGCTTCTAAGCGAAAACGTCGAGGAACATGAATGATTCTGTTCAGTGCTAAAGCAAATCAGTGAAAACAAAATGCAAAAATTGAAATTACAACCGACCAACGTTATATGTTTAAGAAAGAACATTTACTCAACCCCCATGTGTAGTGCAATAAAGTATAGTTTTACCCTTAACTCTAGTTAAAGCACGAGGTCGCTTATAAAAGCCTTAATTATCAAACGTGTGTGCCATCTGGCAGACAAATAACTATTTTGACCCCTTGTTATCGTGTTGTCCAGCAAATCGTTCCACAACAAACAAATCACCCGATCTCAAGTGTAACACTTGTGGGAACTTACGCACCTGTCTGACAATATGGCGACTAATTATTGAGTATAATTTATTCAAAATATCCCCTTCCTATTGCAGGTGTCAATCGTGAGAGACAATTATATTACAAATATTATGTGAAACAATAATAGTTGAGAATAGAAACCTGGAAATAAAATTGTTGAACCAGACATGATTCTTATATATATATATATACACTCTTCAAAAGAAGAGGGGCAGTCGGGTAGCCTAGTGGTTAAAGCGTTCGCTCGTCACACCGAAGGCTCGGGTTCGATTCCCGACATGGGTACAATGTGTGAAGCCAATTGCTGGTGTCCCCCGCCGTGATATTGCTGGAATATTGCTAAAAGCGGCATAAAATCTTACTCACTCCAAAAAAGAAACGCACTGGTAGATGTTTAGTAAATTTATTGTACTTATAAATAAAGTTGATATATTTGATTTAATATCATAGATACAAATAGGAAATGTTGGCGCTCGTTAGTCGCATGTTGTCGCTGTACAAAAGCATTGAAAACTGTTCATTGTCCATAAGTTTTGAACTCAGTTTCACGTGTGACCGCCCCGGGCAGCAAAGAAGGCTCTGCATCTCCTCGGCACTGACTGGATACGTGTACGAATTCTGTCCTGCGGAATTCTGCGCCATTCTGCTTGGAACGCGTTGGCCAGTTGTGGGAGCGTCTGTGACATCCCACGTGCACAGGTGTTCGATTGGGTTGAGACCTGGAGATCTCGACGGCCAGGGCAAGCCGTTGATGTATCCATTGTGATGGTAGCCTGCCGTGACACGAGCTGTTTGCGGTGGAGCACTGTCCTGTTGAAACCTTCCCCTCTGGCGGTCAATGATGGGAAGAAGGTGAGGTTGAAGAATTTGAATCAAGCAGCGATTTGCTGTCAAATTTCCCTGAACCACAACCAAGTCACATCTCGTGGTGTAGGATATGGCCCCCTCACCATGACACTACTGCTACCGAAATTGTCGAATTCACGTACACAATGTGGGGCAAAACGCGCATTTCGACGACGATAAACACGTTGTCTTACATCTCGCCCGTGAAGAAGAAATAGTGATTCATCGCTAAACCACACTCGTCTCCAGTTTCTCACTTTCCAAGGTTGTAAGGTCGCAAGCGTCGCTGTCGATCGATCTGTTGCAAAACAGGGACGATAACTGGTCTTCTGGGTCAGATTCCAGCCTTCCTTCCTGACTGTCTGGTCCGATATCCCGCTCAAACCAGGGATGCGTCCTGCAGTGTCCTTAGCTGTGGCACTGCGATGACGTAGGTGGAACAGTCGAATCCAGTTTCTAATCGCAGTTTCCTCAGATGTGTCTACTGAAATGTAATATCGAAGTCACGTTTTTACTACACATTTAGTTCCCTCTTAATAAGGTTCATTTTTCTGGAGTGAGTGAGTATGGCTTTACGCCGCTTTTAGCAATATTCCAGCAATATCACGGCGGGGAACACCAGAAATGGGCTTCACACGTTGTACCTATGTCGGGATTCGAACCCGGGTGTTCGGCGTGACGAGCGAACGCTTTAACCACTAGGCTACCCGACCGCCCCTATATTTCTTAAAAATGGAACGTTAGTCAGTGACCTTCTTGATAAACATAATAATATGTACATACTGGTATATCGACTTAATAAGTTTCATTAATTCACCGGTTCAAAAAATTAAACAATGAAAGTAACTGAAGCGTATTTGAAATTTCACAAAATTATATGCTATCTATAGAATGTACTCGGTATTCAGAGGGAGTACTCTATGCATGCGCATTTATAAACAGTCATGTGAAATCGATATCCTTTGTAAAGAAATATACGGAAAGCATAACAGTGTTGAAAACCTGTATTGATGAGCTCTTTTACCTTCGCCTGCAACACAAGTAAGCGGAAAAAAATATTTCTGGTCATGCACTGGACTGGTAACATCTTCCATATGCATACACCTGTGAATTAAATTCATGCATTGAGAAAAAACTTCATTAAATTTTATAATATAATGGAGAAGATCAGTTTACTCAAGGGTATGTGAAGGTTATTTTATGAAAACACACTGCGACAACAGTCACCTTATCACCACGCAAACACGGAGTCCCGCCTTGTTATAAATTAGTACACATTTGCTTTTTTAGTCTAAAGTCTGGCCCAGCGTTAACACAAATACTTTCTATCTGAAACACACTGCTTTACCGTGTCTCCGTTTCTTTAGTTGACATCCAGAATCCAGGTACAAATTAATAACTATGAAGTTTTACATACATTCGATACAACTATCAAACAATGTAAATGAAATCTGTTTTCATTTTGTTTGTGAAATGGCACTGAATGACGATGGGAGAACATTTTAGGTTATTCTGTAGGTCCTCAATAATTACTCCATACTTGCAAGATAAGATGTGTATCTAAAGTTGTCTATAGTTATGTCAGGATAGTGTACTCTATAGCGCGTTGACGTCAGCTATAAACTTGTATGCTCTACTCATTATCATCCGACCTTAACGACTGGCATACAAACACCGAAATGCTATGTTTGTGGCAGTGTGTCACGCTAAATTATGCGATATATTGAAATACTGCAACATACGAATACTTAATACCTAAACGGCAATATCAAAAGTATCATTTTTGACCATGTAGCGGGTACGTTATAAACAGATATCAAACGTTGCTGACCCGACCGTGTCATACATTAGATCAGGGTTGAACAGATATAAAAAAACACATCGGTCCTTGTTACAGAAGATATGTTTTATTTGAAGAAAGTTTAAGATTATCGTCAACAATTGAAACGGCTGTTAATCCAAGACAATGTCCATACCAAAGACAAGACACGTTTAAAATCACAATCTCCTAACTATGTCTTATGAACTATCTTGCGAGTTTGGGCGATAAAATTATTTTGCAATCATGCTAAATGCATATGAATTAGATATAATCTACTTCTTACACACATACATGTATGAATAGCATTACACATTCAAATTGTTGCTTAAAGTTCACTGGAAATTATTTAACGATATGTGCAACACATCTTAATAACTATGAAGGGGTAATAGGTTTTATCAACCAAGTATGTTTAATTGATTAAGATGACAGTAGAGAAACTGTGAAATACATTACATAACATACTGATGGTCAAACTTGTTGAATCTCATAAACCGAAGTTTCACATTCGTTTCAAATGCTCACATATTTAAAAGCTAAATTATACACACAAATAATAATTTATTTGAAATATTCTGTCTAATAATACATGAATTATATTGTAGAAGATATATAAATGACATACAATTTAATGTGCTTGACACGAAGCAAGGAGGGACATCTAACGACGAAGTATGAATAAAGAGTCGGCTTATAGCCAGTTTGACATACAAACGTGTATGCACACACGCCGAACTCAATTATATGTAGGACATTTGCTGGTAGACAGACATTAAAGGTATAATTTGCCTCGGAATGCATTATGAGATTCCAAAGTTTAATTGTTCTTGCCTTTTTACAAACTACTCACACACAATTATTCACATTTGTCTTTGTTACAGGGTATTAATTGCGACACAAAGCTTGATGGTTTCAAATTGTTATCAATGTGCCATTTTCGTGTATTCCCAGAATCCATTTATAATGTATACATCACATGCACGTGTTCATTAAACCTCCTTAACCTCGACAACTGTAAAATTGCCAGTAGGGAACCATCACGTCATGTATACTCCAAAAAAATGCCAGTCCCTGTCATGTCTCAGTGGATTCAACCCTGATACTTTCACCGTCAGCTGATCACCAGCGTCCAGCTGCACCAATCCATGAACATCACTGGAGTACTCCAGACTTGCCCCATCAATGATGCTGTTTTTGTTCTCGCTGATGACATTCCTCAATACTGTTTCTGCCTCTTGCTTCAGTGCACTGTACCGTGTTATATTATGATGAAAATCAGACTCAGCATCGTCATGATTATTTCTTTCTGTGTAAAACTTGATGTGGCTATATACGGCATACACTCCAGTGGCGGGCACTATGATACTGCCATTCTCACACTTCATTCCGTTGTACAAAAGTTGTCTCTCTGGTCCGACAAAAGGTACCCAATTTCTTAATGGTGTGTCTGTAAGGGTTTCATCTGAAGAATCAATATCAAGACGTGCAGCAAATATGAATAATAGATTTGTACAAACCTGACTATCCAATGGTTGTGGAACGTTCTGGCCATGGGGTAATTTGGTTAAGAAAGTAATTATAAAGAAAAGTTATATATGTGACAGTGTCAATCTTAACGTGATACCTGATCTGACTGAATTTCTTCTTATTTGCTGTACACTGTATATAACATACATATATATACTCTATTTACACTCTATTTACACCGTTTTTATGATATTCATTTTTAATTCATAATATGAAGTTAGTTTACCATCAGTGTGACTAAAGTCTAGTCCCGGGAAGTAGGCTATAGGCTTTAATAAATTGAGCAATTCTGCTGATATGGTCGGTTTTTCTGCATCTGTAACAAATTGTAGAGAGAGTTTCACACAAACAGGGAGCGTGTCATTGAAATATGTTATCTAATCACATTAATATCATTCCCACATGTACAACCTGTACAGCCATCTCTGAAGGCAAAGGCGACGATCTGTATCGTGAAACCTTTTGTCCACAATGAAAACAATTATCATTGCAACAGAACATTCTGGTGAATGGCGCGAACGTGTTTCTCGTTTTTCATTTTGGTGTATTCAACTCACTTGTCCGTGTAAGACTGGGCATAGCAATGGTTGTCACGTGTTCCATGTATATCTGCAACACATGACAGAATGGATAACAGTGTGATGTGCAGAATAAATAACAATAGACCAACAGTCCAGACACATGTACGTTACTGTTTATTCATTCCTTCTATTTATCATTTTCCTCCTCTCCAATAGTACAATTTGAATATTAGTAATATATCTATGAAATATTATGAGTGAAACGTACATCCTTAAGTTTGTACTTACATTGTCGATTTGTTCCTTTGTAAGCTGACCTTGTGATTGCTTTTCGGTTTGTAGTGACACCACGACACCAATAACTGCAATTACTACAGCTATGTTCAAAATAAATATGAAAGCAAATCCAACTTTCATACGTTTGTTCATGATGAGTGCTAAACTTTAACGTCACATGCTCTTGTCTGAAACAAACAACAAACCAATTAGAAACCAAATCAACTCCTGATTTGTCGGAAATGTTGAGGAATGGCGGACCTAGTAGACAGTTCAAGCTTGTATTCTCTTTGACCTGTTTAATACAGGCATGTGGACAAGTCTGAGCGTGAAATGATAACAATTGTTTAATATATGACGTGTGGTAACGTTTAATCATATACACACGCGCGCGCACATATACTTCATAGGTGAGATTCACTGGTGTACAGTAGCACATACATATAAAGACATTCACACAATAATGGCACGACGGAAATTCTATTCTTATAGATTTTAATGTAATTGTCAGTGAGAAGTGCACTCCGTAGTATTCCGTCAGAGTTTACGTCATGTCATGAATATAGTCTCGTAAAAATAACGTATGAACGTCAAAATGTGTCGGTCATAAGCTTATGAACGTCAGTTTCGCGGTCATGTGACCAAACTCACATTACAAACCTCACGTAAACCTCACATTACACACAACCTCTCTCTATTACTGTATATATATATATATATATATATATATATATATATATATATATATATATATGCGCTCGTAGTGTTATTAATGTGTACGTAATAAACAGAAAGAAAAAAATAAATATATGATGATCTGTTAACAAATTTAAACCCAATCGATAAGACACTCTTAATCAACTCATGTTGTCAATATTAAGAAAGAAAAACCTTAAATATACTGCTCACTGCTCACTGCTCACTGCTCACTGCCGAGAAGTGTTGTTGCCCGGACAGTCAAAACTAGCAAACACTTGGTGATATCGGAGAGGGACTTCCCCTTCATATCCAGCTGTCTCGATTGTGTCATGTTATATTGTGATCCGGCAGTATGTATCTTTAAATGAACATGAATCACGATTCTAAAACGAATGATGATTGTTATCTTATCAACTGATGCATCTCTGTTATCGTTGTTTACGTTACTGAAACATACATTCAGTCATTATAATACGGCCGTGCCTGCATCAAGGGGTTAAAACAAGGATTAGTCGGCTCGGAGTCAGTTTAATGTCTCTGAGTGGGGTATCCATGTTAAACTGTGGCATGGTATCTCAGTGGGCTAGTACTATAAGCACACACACACACACACACACACACACACAGACACACGCATAATAGCCATACCATTCTATGCAATCGGCTTACTAGAAACGCTTCTGAATGATAATTCATTTGTAATGGGACACTGATCGCCTTGTACAAGGCAGCGTTGTGTTTCGCTGGAAGAGTTGTATCCCTCGGACGTACCAGACGTGTAGGACGTCCCTCAGACGTGTTCCATGCAAATCTGCATCTCTGTTATCGTTGTTTATGTAACTGAGACATACATTCAGTCATTATAATACGGTCGTGTCAAATGTCAGCCAGGACTTCCCCGTGGATATCAGGGTGCGCTTTAACTATACCTAGGAACATCTAACAGATTGTGACCCGGAGATATTTACTCATTTAGTGAACATGCGTCACGACTGTGAAACGAATGACGATTATAATCCTATAATCTATTCAAGAGTCGCATCAATACATTCCACAAGTCTGTAAGGTTTCAAATCCTTGAAAGTTCGTAAAAAAGAAGATGCATTTGTTTCTGTCTATCTCTCATTTACTGCGATCTCTGACTGCTACTATTCGGATTATGATAGTCTATTTGTTCTCCTTCTAATTTAAATTTGGACCGTTAAGCACCAACCATGGTTCTTCATATTCCATTAGCAAATTATTGATGTGGCAACTGGTCGCCAACTCGCTTATATCTGTTGCTGGGCAGAGTTGTATGCCACAGGCGTGACAGAAGCCTATGATCTCAGGTTCTTCATATTACGCAAACCTATTTCAGCACCATACTACACTTTCGAAACTTTCCCCAAAGTGGGAGTGTCTAGGATGTGCCTCATTTTATGTTTTCTTCCCCGTCAAGTTGACTCAACGTGGTGTTTCTCTAATACTAAAGCAGCGTTAAACATCACTCATTCACACTATTAAATGGATTCATCAAAAAGTATCAACCAAGATGATACGTTAATTCATTTACTAATTCAGGGATTGATATCAGTATAGGTAGCTTTCTTTATTAGTTGTGTTAAAATATGAGGAAACTTGCATTAGTAGTAGCTTTAAGTACAGGCAGTTATGCTAGAGCATAAGACTATGTCTATCGCATGTTGAGAAACCTCTCGTCTCAAAGCCCGTCCTACACGCTAGATACACACTGCACAATATACACTGCGCTGTACGGGGGCAAGTTTGCCTCGCTCTCGCATAACCTGCAGGTGAGAGGATCGCACAATAACAACGCGTGAATTTAGGGCCGCTAGGGCTGAGGTGACTGCAAAGCTTACAAAGCCTTCCTGTGTATCCGATTAGAGAAGTAGGACATTCTACTCCATTTTGTGGGTCAACATGACCGCGTGATTATATCATATTGTAATATCCAAAAATGAGGTTAAATCTTTTCTGTGTCTGTCTCTGACGGTCGCCTTATTCACCTCCACTGACGTGTTCTTGTGATGGGTTTTGTTCAGAGTCGAACAGATCTGCGGTTATGTGTGATGTTGAATGGCCAACAGTGTTGTTCACGTGGTGTGCATTAACTCCCTCCCTGCTACATACGGTTTCTTAATCAAACTATTATAACTCGTCCGTTCATGATGTCGAGGTCAGTATTTGTAAAGTAGGCTTTAGGAGGTATGATAAATGCTGGAGAGATGATATATGACTAGAGCTGTGGTGTTTGCGGTGAAGGGTCAGTGTTGGAGGTGAAGTGAGGTGAGGTGAAATGGGGTTTTAAAGTCGCGTCCAAGATTATTGCACTTATATAGCGACGTGCATGCACGTGTGTGTGTGTGTGTGTAGGTGAGTGGCTGCTTGTACTAGTCCGAACTGATGCCGATTTATAGTGCTAGCACACTGAGACACCATGCCACAGTTTAACATGAATACCCCACTCAGATACAGACTCCGAGCCGATCAGTCCTTGTTTTGAGCCCCTTAATGCCGAGCGCCAGACAGGGTAACAACAAGTACCATCTGTAAACGTCTTTTGGTATGACGCGGCTGGGGATCGAACCCTGGACCTTCCGCCCTCCAGGCGGACGCTCTATCATTAGACCCCGGAGGCGGTCCGCTTATGGAAAGGGAATGGGCTCTTCGAAAACGGTTTTACCTCTATATAATCAAGTTCAAGTATCGTTTGTTTTTATTAACATTAAATATAATCTTTGACTGACCTCTGTGTTTCAAAGCCAATACAAGAGACCAGTGTTACACAGGGATGATAGTCATTGTGACCTACAATCAATATCTTAATGCTAGGTTTTTATAACATATTTGTTTGGGCAACATAACCCCCCCGTATTTGCTGATTATATTGTAAATATATATATGACTCTGTGGTGAGACTCCAAGATCAAGTTCAAGCCGAGGCAAAACATTATGGCATGAAGGTTCAATTTCCAAATCTAAGGTTGTTTCAGTCTGCAGGATTGATGAGATCATGCAAACTGAAAAAACTGGTGGTTTTGTGGTAACAGTTTGGAAACAGTATCTGCTCACAAGAACCTGGTTGAAATGTTTGCCCCAAAGCTGTCAAAAAAACATGCAAACCATGAGAAAAGACATTGAATATCTTATTCAGTTTTGGAATAACAGCTGAATTGAGCCTAACCTGCTTCTGTTGTCTGTTTGATAGCATGGCTGTACCCATATTTAGTTATTAATCCGATGTGCGACATGGGAGGAGGTCAGTGTAAATTAAAGTGTACACAGTTTTACAGAATATTCTCAGGTGTAACCACCAGCTCTATGAAGCTGTCAGTGGAGAATTTAGTAGTTGCCAGCCTTCGCTGACCACATGTGCAATGTAGTAAAGTCCTGGTTAAAGTTGTTACATATGGCCATCACCAGGTATCCCAAATGTTAATACCAGCTTGGTAATAAAGAAAGGGAGACATGGCCCACACATGCTAAATCGTTGATGAATATTTTAGGATCTGATGTGGCATGGATTGGATAGGGAGTTGGAAATGAGTCACTTTTCCTATGACAGATGTTAAAGACTACAATTGAACCTGAGAGATATGTTTTTAAAGATATAAAATGGACCCCTTCGAGTGATCCTCATTAGGTGTGGGTGTGGTAACCATACGTTATAACCACACACAGGACGCTGAGCTGGCCCTATTTAGGGCGATTCCATACTTACATCTAACAATGTTTCAGAGAGATCCCTACTTGTAGGTGATCAGCTGTATGTGTGATGTCCTTCACACATTACACAACAGCATGTTAAACCGGCAAACCTTTGTGTCAAATCAGTGTATCAAACATTTACAACTTTACACCACTTCATGTCAAACCTTTACACCAGACAGATTCACTTTACAGCCCCTTGTTCCAAACCAGTACACCAGACAGTCATACTTTACAACCCCTTGTTTCAAACCAGTACACCAGACAGTCACACGTTACCCCCCCCCCCCCCCCCCCCCCCCTTGTTTCAAACCAGCACACCAGACATTCACACTTTATAACCTCTTGTTTCAAACCAGTACACCACACAGTCACACTTTACAGCCCCTTGTTTCAAACCAGTACACCAGACAGTCACACTTTACAACCTCTTGTTTCAAACCAGTACACCACACAGTCACACTTTACCCCCCCCCCCCCCCCCCCCTTGTTTCAAACCAGCACACCAGACATTCACACTTTATAACCTCTTGTTTCAAACCAGTACACCACACAGTCACACTTTACAGCCCCTTGTTTCAAACCAGTACACCAGACAGTCACACTTTACAACCTCTTGTTTCAAACCAGTACACCAGACATTCACACTTTACAGCCCCTTGTTTCAAACCAGTACACCAGACATTCACACTTTACAACCTCTTGTTTCAAACCAGTACACCACACAGTCACACTTTACAGCCCCTTGTTTCAAACCAGTACACCAGACAGTCACACTTTACAGCCCCTTGTTTCAAACCAGTACACCAGACATTCACACTTTACAACCCCTTGTTTCAAACCAGTACACCAGGCAGTCACACTTTACAGCCCCTTGTTTCAAACCAGTACACCAGACAGTCACACTTCACAGCCCTTGTTTCAAACCAGTACACCAGACAGTCACACTTTACAGCCCTTGTTACAAACCAGTACACCAGACAGTCACACTTTACACCCCCTTGCTTCAAACCAGTACACCAGACAGTCACACTTTACAGTACACTGAACTGTAAGTTCATCAAGCACTATTAATATATACAAGATGCATTATGTTTCTAATAAATCAAATTAAGAATGCATTCTACAATATATATTATTTCTAATCACAATAACTAGAAAACATCCATATATACAACATCATAAAATAAATAACCAACTAACCTTAAATATGAATAAATCCTTCTACAAATCCAAATCCTCACTTAGAAATGAAAGCGGCAATAAATCTCGCTGAGTCTTTCCTTGTTAGGTGACAGTAGCAACTCATTGTTGTAGCTATGGCCAGCTTGGCCTATCAACAAGCATTCACACTTTACAGTCCCTTGTTTCAAACCAGTACACCAGACAATTACACTTTACAGCCCCTTGTTTCAAACCAGTACACCAGACATTCACACTTTACAGCCCCTTGTTTCAAACCAGTACACCAGACATTCACACTTTACAGCCCCTTGTTTCAAACCAGTACACCAGACATTCACACTTCACAGACCCTTGTTTCAAATAGTACACCAGACAGTCACACTTTCCACCCGCTTGTTTCAAACCAGTACACCAGACAGTCACACTTTCGTCAAATCGGTACAACATTTCAAATATTTCCTATCTGCATGTAATCGTTTCCCAGTTGCGTCCTCGTACTATAACTATAACAGTACAGGGCAAAACTATATATGTTACATAACACCTGGAGAAGAGCAATCTCTAGTTCTTTGTATATAAAAATAAATGCACGCCATCATAACGCCACACAATTAGTTCAAGGTTATACATGTTCACACAATGCGTGACTCAGCTGGTCACTTATAGCAACACTGCAGCGGGCTGTATACTGCATAGCCAAGCGACTTAAATGTCCACTAAGCCTTTCTCACAGATGAATAGAACTGACCAAGCGCGCAGCCCCGACAGTCTTCTTTTAGCATGTTGTTGTGTAGTCTTTTCAGATGCACGGACATACCTCTACTCCACTCGAGGATGTCGACAGCGATAAGACGCTTCTCAACGATTACTACAGTAAGTTCAGTCATTCATTCGCTTATTGCAATAGATATTGCACCACCTATTTTTCATAATTGATAATTCTAAGTATGGAGCGTACCTAGTGTCACCGGGTGGTAAAACCAAGCTGGTCACGGTCTAGTGACGTATATATAATGCAGCGCTTCCCACTCCCGTATCTGTCAGGCATAGGTCGGTGTGTTTATGTTCTTTAGCGTTAGAGAATTTGATGTTCATAAATTTTATTCCCATGCAGTTGAATCGCAAACTTTTATCAGAATGTAATTTGATATATGTTATCTCATATATGTATGCAGCTTATTCATGGATTGAAAGTGTTCATTGACCGTGATATCCTCGCAGTGGCGGGGTTATCTAGTACTAGATATTTTTTATGTATTATTGTCCTTTTTTATGTTCAGTCCTATATTTTGGTATCGACATCTCCCATAATGTTTTTGTAGTTAGTTTGCTACACGGGGTTTCATTATTTTAAGAAACACAGTCTGTTACCCGCAGCCGTTTATCGTTCTCCAAGCTGACAAGGGGAGATTTTTTTCTCCGACGTCCGCGCTTATGATGGATCTTCGCCAGAATTCGCTAGAGTGAGTGAGTGAGTATGGTTTTACGCCGCTTTAAGCAATATTCCAGCAATATCACGGCGGGGGACACCAGAAATGGGCTTCACACATTGTACCCATGTCGGGAATCGAACCCGGGTCTTCGGCGTGACGAGCGAACGCTTTAACCACTAGGCTACCCGACCGCCCCAGAATTCGCTAGACTGTTTACGGGTCGCCTTGTTCCTGTGTAGTCAGTTCGAAATGTGTTTCGCTTTGAATTATTTACAGAGTCATTTTGATTCTGGTATTGGCTGACTCTGGTGTTACTGACCTAATCAGCGTTACATTTTAACCCCCTTTTTGTAACCCATGAATAACAATTTTCTCGGGATTGCCATGTTTAGGCCAAGTACATTTTATAATTGTGAGTCAAGTTACTCTTTTGATCAAGTACCAGTTTCCTTGCTCAGTTAAGCGACTTGAGCTTATCGCTTAAGTGCTCATTATCTAGTCAAGCTGATGATATTCATTCTTTCATTAGAGTTTTGCGTTAATTAGCTTGCAGATGATAATAGGTCCCAGCCGCCGACTTAATTGACTGTCTATGTGTCTTGTCGGTTGTCTTGTGAGAGTGTGGATTTAAATGTCTTAAGTCATATCTTTTATACAGTTGCTTAGTTCATCAGGTTGTATATTTGTCCTGGTTTAGTAATCAGTGATCGTTGTCAGTGTCAAATGCGGTCTTGATTATTTACATTGCCCCACTTTAGTTACAATTAGCTGATGATTACATTGCGAACTTTTTTTTATCATCACTTTATTCTTATATAATGACACCCTGATCTCTTGAACACAGCTCCGTGACACTTATATTACTCACAGTGTAGGTCATTCGATTCGTTCCTACATGTCTTGTTAATAGTCAAGGTAAACCAATATGTATACTAAAATTCCGTACTTGGTACTAGAATCTCCATTGTCAATAATGAGTTGAATCCCAACACGCAACATGGTTATCTGGAAATCCATTTGTCTAGGACCTCTCTGTCATCTGCCTCGGTTGATGGTTTTGGCAAATTTCAATATGCTGTTTTCTTCGGAACGTAATAGGAAAAGAAAAGCTATTCATATTTTTCTGAAAACAGAAGTAAAAATAAAAGCAGCAAAACACTTTCCATATTCAAAAGATATATCTGCTAATAGCAGACTATATATCATTAGTCATGTGCTTATGTATCGTTATCAAATAGTGATGATACCAGGTGTTCGCGAAATGGTGAACATACACGGTATTTTGGCCCACTGGTGTCATCCGTCAAAAACACATGCAAAAGCAAGTCATTTTTTCATATGAAAATTGTTCCCATGGACCTTCTTGTGGGCATATATTGACTATCAGACTTTCAACTGTTCCTTATCTTAAAACTTATTTCATAGTTTTGAAATGAAATTAACATTGTTTATGTCCTCAGTACATACCCTTGACATTTGTTTATGATGTCGACTCGGAGTAACAGAGGGACTGTTTTTTAAATGTATTTTTTTCCACAACTTAAAATAATAGGACGTGTTAATTCATAAGACAACCTGATCTATAGTTTTCTGTAGACAAGTGTCTATGATATGCATTTCCCGCTTATACCAGATATCAGCAAAACCCATGTACTAACTGTGTCACTGATATACCCGATATTTTGTTGTTGAGCTCTTGCTGATGCTGTTTCTTCAAACATCCTTATAATATACAAAATCAATAGTTGTCATAGATGAATAACTTAAACGATTCGTGACAAAGATATAAGGTTACAATACAAATGCCTCAATATCAAGATAAAGAGACCTTGTATTTCAACAATGAGAAAAGTTATTGAAATGACCTAAGCCTTACGTTTTCACTTTTTTCCAGATGCGTTTCACATTTCCAAAAGTAATAGTTCTGGCGGTTGTCATTCTGGTCGCATGGTTGTCGTTTGTATCATGGGGCGGCCTTGAGAAGTAAGTACTTGGCCTGTGACACCCGGTGTCCGATCGATACAGTTCCAACTTAATTAAATACTAGTAGTTAACGAATCACTGGTCAGTTGTTCAGCAAAGGGCGCCAGCTTACCAATCAATTGAGGAGACGTTATCGCAATGGATTCACTTTGTAATGACGGCATCAGGTTTAAGCACCTTCATTATGGATACGACATGTACAGCTAATGAAATAAAGTACAATATGTACCTCTCCACTGAACCACTCCAAGAACGAAATGATGGTAGGAGGAGTGTGTGTTAAAATGACAGTGTTTTCATGAGATCCTGTGTGTATACGTTTTTGAAGAATAGTTAAGAAGTATTGAAATGCATTGAGAATCTCACCCGAGTGTCTTTTGATATCAAATATATCAACACAAGTTGATAAAAGTGGAAGCCTCGGAGTTTTACCACTTTTATCAACAAGTGTTGATATATTTGATTTCAAAAGGGTTGAGATTTTATTTATCATCCAAAATAATTCTTCCACTTTTTTCAGTTTGTAGACAGCAATAAGCAGTGTCTTAAGTGTAAAAAGTACTGCTAACAGCTTCAGTAGCAGAGCCATTAGTGATGTCATTTGATTGTGACGTCATGGTAACCAATGACGTCACAATGGTCTGCAAAGCATTGTGATGCAATTTCATTGCAGCGATATCTACAGTGTAGATATCGCTTGATCTCATCCAAGCAATATCTCCTGTAGGAGCCAGTTTTGGATGATAAATCCTTTTTATCGGCATTTCAATGGGTAATTTCAAAGTTATGGAACACTTATGATTTCCTGTGAGCATCATGACATCATTTCTTCTACAATTAAATGTTCTAAGTATAAGGGGGCCCAGACGGCCCAGTTGTCTAAGGCTCGGCAATTTGCTGTGCAGAGTTGCGTCGCTTTGGAGACACCAGAAACCTATGAGTGTGGGTTCGAATCCTTGTTCGCCTCGATAATGTTGCTAGGTTTGTCATCAGCATAATTGTACTCGTGGGTTGCACCTAAGTGGTAAACGTCTGAGAGCTGCATCCCTTCGGGCTTTCCTCACACTTTAAGCTGACGCATTGAAGCCAGTTCACTCACTCATACACTCCAATTTTATGATTGGATAGGATATATATGACGTTTTAAAAACATTTTATCATTTGGTTTCAAACGTTTAACAAAACAAATTGTGAATTGTTAGGCAATGGACCCTTAAATATCTGTCGACAATATTTTGTATTATATTTGTTTCTGTGAGAAGAGATATCTATAACCTTATGCAAATTAATAACAACAAACCGGTTTTTACAAGTGTAGTGTTGTGTTATTAGTGTTGTTGTTAACGTTATTGTGAGACAGAGAATCCAGTGACTGACATCAGGAGCGTCGATCTAAGCAATTGGGATACGATGACATGCCAGCAACCAAGTCACGTAGCACGATTTTCTCTTCTGCTTAGTGGTCTCAAAGCACAGGAATAGCTGGATGTTGGTATTCTTTACAGAAATCTCCACTTGTAGACCCGTTCAAGTGCACCGGCAGTACCATTGCGGTCTAAAAAAGTTAATCACAGCCAGAGACACAATAGCGTCATTTCTGTACAAACTATTATAGTAAAAAAACATATTACGTAGGTTTGTATATTCCCCCTGTGCCAACACCTTGCAGAGTTGCGTTCATTGAACACGCAAGAGACCTGTGATCGTGGGTTCGAAACTCGACTCGCCATTATTCTGTTTCTTGGTCACCATAACAATGTTCATGGGCTTCACCAAAGTATTGCACGTCTACGACCAGCAACCCTTCGGGCTTTCCTCCGACATCAAGCTGTCACTCCGACATGTAACTGAAACTGTATTTTAAGTGGCGTTAAACCCAAAAGTACACTGACACACAAGCACAAACCAACACACATACACTTGATACCATCTCTCACCTGTAATCAACTTAAATGTATATTTGATATACCTTACGTCAATGATGTATTGATACTAACATCATAATTGAAGCAATATTCAATATAGAAAAGTAAAAAATCGAAAGAAATAAGTAAAAACTATATATGTTTGTAGGTTTCAGAGCGTACCAGACCATGCTCGTTCAAGAACAGAAGACAAGAGGCAAACACCTCAAGTTGAACATCAACTCCCCTTGAAATCTGTGAAGGCAGACACGGAAATTATAAATGATCCAAACTTGAAAGATTCAAATCGTCATGCATCGGGAAAGTTCTCGAAGTTATTCCTCATTGACAAACAACAAATCTACAGACTTAATGAAACCATCAATGTGAAGATAGTGTTAATGGATCGCAAGGAAAGACCTAAAACCCGAGGAGGAGATATGTTGGTTGTTTGGATGAAAGACACAGTGAAACAAGCTTCTTCCGCCGGAAGTGTTATTGACCATGGCAACGGGACGTATACTGGCGTTCTGCGCACCATGTGGACCGGACAAGCTGTAATCTATGCAGCTATATTGTCATCGAGAGAAAGGATGGCTTTTATATACAACAAATTTAGAAGCGGATATATCGGAAAGCATATAAGTTGCCTGTTTGATGTACATAACTTAACAGAGACAACTGTGGGGTACATGCATAAACGGTTTCTTGACAATAAACCAATCTGCAATTTGACTGCCGAAAATTGGGGTGTTCCGTTCTATTGTACCAAACCTAAACAACGTGGATTTGAGTGCCAGCATTGGACTAGAGTTAACACAGTTCATTTTGTGCCAATACCAACAGAGGCTGATACACGCTGGTATAGGTCGTAAGTAGTACTCTTCACGCTATGTTATGTAGTTGTCATGGTCAACAAGTCGTTTTCAGGTTTTCTTCTTGTTATGAGGCGACATGGGTGTCGCAGTGGTCTAGAGCACTGCATTTGGTTGTACAGATTTGCGTTCATCAGCTGCCCAGAGATGATTATTATCGTCGTTACGAATCCAATACTCTCATTGATTATGTTTCTTGATTTGTTAGCACTATCGGCTTTCGAGGATCCTTGACGTTTATCGCCAACGTAAACGCCTGCAACTCGGGCTTGGTGTTATGAGCTAGCCCTTGAAACATAATCAGGGCGAACCACAATCATAACTCTTCACAACAAATCCGTGGCCCTAATCCGTGTAAGGATTGGATTATGAATTAACTTTTTTTACAACACATTTTGATTCCCAAAACACTATGCAACGTTTGTGACTTTTGTCATTTTGATCATTGTGAAGACCATATATTGTAAAGACAATGTATTGTGAAGATCATGTATTGATCCTCTCAGTAAAGGTCAATGTTAATATTATATGGATGTCAGTCACTTGGTTGTCTGGTACAAACTCGATTATTTTTCAGACCGCCGTCATATAGCTGGGATATTGCTGAGTGCGGCGTTAAACTATAAAGAAACAAAACATGATATGCAGGAGCTGGGGCAAAGATGACGCTGTGGAACAGTGTGATAGACCACAGGCTAAACATTCGAAAGTGGGAATGGAAATACTGTGTAGAACTAATTGATGATATCCCCTGCTGTGATATTGCTGGAACATTTCGGAGAAAATTCACACTCACTCATTCACTTACTCACTAAGTCGGTTAGTTGAACGGCGCCGTTCGATCCGTTGGATATTACTTAATTCCTGTGCCATCCGCAGGTAATGTTTGTAGACAAATTCATTCTTGATATAAAGTGCTTTATCATTTCAGGTGTTCTTTTGAGAAATTGGTGGACTGGGTCCCAATACGTATTTCCTCTGGTATGTATTTTAACGATGGTTTCGTACACACCCGCCCGCCCGCACGCACGCACGCACGCACGCACGCACGCACGCACACACACACACACACACACACAAACACACACAAACACACACAAACACACACACACACACACACAACAAAGCAACATGGTATAACAAACGTAAAACAAACAACATCATGGCAAAAGATCCCTGGAAAGAACTTGTAGGGCATAGCTGAAATTTAGTCACAACATTGTTTGAAATGGTTAAACATGGAAACTAATACATTCAAATAAACATTTATGTGAGATGTTAGGGATTCGTGGCCCTCTTGCTGAAACATTCTTTCTTCTTAATTGAAGTTAGTGTCGGTAGAAAAAACAAATATATGTCCAACCTCAAACCCCTACATGAATTGACCCAAACCCAACTGACCAAAACCTAAACGCAAATTCCAAAGTAATTTATGTTATTTTGTTTTCCTGATATTTATACTTAAGATGAACATGATAGCTCCTCTAATTAATTTATAGTTCTGGCATAACCTATATTTTTATATGAATTATACTCTACCATAATGCCAGTTTATTAGCTGATATTAATCATTGTGAATGAACTTATATTAATCATCATATGCAATTTGGTTATGATTATAATAGAAATCGGTTCGAATTTGAATAATGGGGGAATTGGAACAAAACAGTATAATCAGCTTCGCATTTTAATTGAGAGAAAAGAAAATCAAGATTCAAAGAAGGGATGGCAGTTTTGGTAGAGACTGGATATTTGATCGGTCACTGCTCTCAAGAGTTTTTCTCTGTGAAAAGAGAAGACGAACTGTAGAGATTAAGTACATGTAGGTATACAACAATAATTCAACATTTCAGTGAAAGCTGCGACAGTGTCTTCCTCAGCTCCATGTGGAAGGAAGCAATTCCGTGACACCTGGACGACACCATCACCTGTTGGATTCTTCTACAACTCCACATGGCGACAACGGGGATGTTTTAACACCATAACTACGAATGACTATAGCAAATGCCTGGCCAACAGATCACTCAGGATGTATGGTGACTCGACCGTCAGACAATGGTTTACAGTCTTGTACAAAAGGTTGAATCTTACCATGAGAACTGGACCGTGGTTTATTGGGCCCATACCAGTAGCACAGAAGCGTTACTACTACACTGAGGCCTATGAGAAACAACATAACTATACTGTTGTTTGGATTCCTCATGGTCTGCCAATGTCATTTCAAAATGCAAACAGGACTGCGAGTCGACCCGTGTTCGTCTATTTAGATGAGACACCTGCAGGTTCACGAGACATTATCCTTATTAATCTTTACGCTCATTTTAATCTATTTCCGGTACACATGTTTAGGTCTCAAATGAAACGTACACGGATTTCAATACAAAAATTATTGAAAAGATCACCTGATATTAAAATAGCCATAAAAGGGCCCCACAATTATATACATCCCATAACCAACTATACTCTAGATGGGCTATGGGGACCTATTTATGAAAACATCATCAAACAGGAGTTCGTTGGTCTCTATGATCAGTTGGTTTATCTCGACATTTGGGACATGACTATTGCTGTTGAAAATACTGATGTTCATCCCACTGAAGATGTTGTGAGTACGATGATTCACACATTTCTTGGATATTTCTGTGCGAAATGAATATAGTTTATTTTGGTTTTAGATGTTGAGAGTATTTAATGAACAAACATCATTTCTAGATTGATCCTATCCTTAAATTTCGACTATACCATGGGCAGAAATAATGAATAGATAGAATATTCCATTTCATAGGTTAGTAAACTGAAAAAAAATGATTGAGATTTTGTTGCGTATATCAACTTTCACGTGACAGTATGGTCTTGTTGAGTGACATCCGATGCTCTTTGAGTCTGGGGTTAAGGGGTCTGAGGGTTCTCAAGTGTATTGGTGGCTACAGATGCATAAAATCTTGTATATACACCCTCTGGCATTGGGACTTGCGCAGCTTGTGCCTCTTCCATTAGTCCGTAGATGTGTCTAGATGGTCTTGCCGCTAGGAAAGGGGGAATTTATATTGGCTTTGTTCTTGATGAGGCGTAAAAGCGACAGGGCTTTGGTGGGGTATGATTGGCGATGGGGTAGGCCATGTTCTTGGTTCGGAGTTCTTGAGGATTTTGTTGGTGGTTTTGGAGATTAGATGGGCAGGGTAACTGTAGAGGGAAGTAAAGGTTTTCGTCACATGGTTCAGATCAGATGTTTCAGGGGAAGGCATTGGGATGGCAAATGAATTTGGCACTTCGGGTGAGGGTGCCGATGATGGCGCGATGCACACACCATCACAATTCAGCCACTGAATCTGTCGACCTGTAGAACGATGTTCGGTGCTAAACGTATATTTCGACGTCTTCCATTTCGGCGTTGTTGAAGAAATCGTGATGCTTCACTGAACCAGAGTCGCCGCCAGTTTCTCAGACTCCATGCCCTTACGGGGCTGCTCCATCGCATACGATGTCGTCGATTGAAACGTCTCCCGAATGACAGGGACAAATACCGGTCTTCAGGGCCTTATTCCCACCAATCGCAGACGATTCCTGATTGTTTAGTCCGATACGTTTATACCCTCCTCAGGCCTGGCACATGTCCTACCAACTCGATGGATGACATAGGTGAAAGAACCAGATGTAACGGATTATGCAGGGTGGTGCCTCTTGGTCTATCACTTGTAAGAAGACCTTGGGTTAAACTGAGGCGTGCATTCGGATCCCATAAACGAGATAGGTGTACGTTGAAATGACGTGTAGCCGCCGACTTGGACTCCCCAGCTTCAAGGCGTAATGTGGCGATGTTGTGATATGCAGCATTCAGTCTCGGCATTTTCCCGGTTCGAAACGTCGACAAACGTATGTCAAAATATGATTGACGTTTGACCTTTATAATCACTCTCACAGCACATGATTGTCAAAACTATTACTTTCCTTTCCATGACATGCTAATATAAAGCTACAGACGTTTAAAACGGATGCATTTGTGCACTACACCAGTTAACGACTGTATTTGTATTTAATGTTTCATGAACAAACACCATCAGCATTCTCATTATCTCCTATGCGTTTCTGTTTTTGAAGAGTGTATGTCAGTTTCACGTAAAAGACACAGAATTGTTCAGTTTTGTCGTTCAGTTTCTACCTTGGGAGTGCTGCCAGCTTCTGCTTTTTGGGGATTTAATTAGAATAGCTGAAATAAAATTGTATTATATTTATAATGTACTCTCTTTCCAAATACCATAGCAATTGCTCCAATTAACATGGGCTAAAGATATAATTCCCGATGATGTAAATAACCATCAATATTGTTCAACATTTTCACATACAAAAGATATTTCTAATATATTAATCTCCTGCTTATTTGAAGAATATCTCTTGAATGAAAAGTTGATTGCATATGTTTAACAAATACTTTCTAGATATTTGCATTTTACCTGTACTCGGAAAAGGAACTGCTGATTTAGTTTGTGTTTTTATCACAGCTTTTAGGCCATAATGGGCATGCATGTACATGCAATTGATGTTGAATGCCTGGTTATTTTAAACAAATCTAACTTTACTATAGAAGTCTTTTGGAAAACATTTGGCTGTGTGTAACCAATATCAATGTTTGCTGGGTACCCTCACAGAGTTAGCTCCCTTTGACCGTCCGTGCCAGTTTTGCTGTATCCCATGCTCTGCTCTACAAGTACGCCATTGTTTCCATCACAACGAGACAAGGGCGGTATCTCAAACGGATGGTTACGGCATTTTCGTTCGAAGCAAAACCATGTACCATACATGCGCTATGTGCATCACGTCTGGACATGGATATTTATAGAAGTTATCACTCGAGTGTTTTTGGGGATGGTAAATATCCTGTATTAGGAATAAACATTGTATTTAGCGAGCCTTGGCTCTTTGCTGCCAAGAAACCTACCCATAATATGACAAAGACCTACGTTTCTATGTTCGTGTTAATTCGTAATATATATATATAGTATGAGGTGATTTGCTTGTTCCTCCAATTACCCACTTGAAAACAGTTACCTTTTCTTCTTGAATGTTCAAATTATGCTGCCAAAACCATTTTGTCTAGGCAAGGGAGTTTGTTCACTGACTCTAAATATCCTGTTTCCACCCTAACCGAATGGCGTTTTATTTTGGCTTAACGAACCAAAATCTCGTAACGAAGTCCACATCCGATAAGTAAACTGCCGTGTCGGTCGATTGCAGGATTTGCAAAGCATGTGTACCAACATCGCGGCGTCAACAGATATCTTCCAAATCTTTTCAAGTTTTTAAGTGAGGTGAGGTGAAATTGGGTTTAACGTCGCGTCCAAGATTATTGCACTTATATAGCGACGTGCATGCACGTGTATGTGTGTGTGTGGCTGCTTGTACTAGTCCGGACTGATGCCGATTTAAAGTGCTAGCTCACTGAGATACCATGCCGCAGTTTAACATGAATACCCCACTCAGACACAATATACTGACTCCGAGCCGACCAGTCCTTGTTTTTGCCCCTTAATGCCGAGCGCCAGACAGGGTAACAACAAGTACACTCTTTTAACGTCTTTTTGTATGACGCGGCCCGGGATCGAACCCTGGACCTTCCGCTCTCCGGGCGGACGCTCTACCACAAGACCACGGAGGCGGTCCGTTTTTAAGTGCTCACGAGATATAATGTACTTTGCGAAGTAAGACCTGTTTTATTACAATATAGATTCTGATCATCGATCAGATCGCCTTTACTGGGCGCCGCCATTTTGTTTGAAGCATATCATATGAGAGGTGTCATCTGTTTGGTCAACAGGAGGGGCATATAAGGGACATAACTCGTTATAGCCACTGGTGGTGCTACGATCGAGCACATAAATTCCAGCCTAGTTCAGCATGGGTGGAAACTGGACTTTTAAAGTCAGTTAATCCCCATTGCCTCGGGAAGATTGCTAAACAATGTGACGTACAATGTCACCTTTTTTCACATATTGAAGTGAAAGGGATTGTGTCCATCAAACTGATATAACAGATTGCATAAGGGTGTTCTGAAACTATTACATATTTGAATAGAAGTCCCACCAAAAGGTTGTTGGTTGGTTGGTTGGTTGTTTAACGCCGCACTCAGCAATATCCCAGCTATATGACGGCGGTCCGTAAATAATCGAGTCTGGACCAGACAATCCAGTGATTAATATCATGAGCATCGACCCAATCAATTGTGATCGATGACATGTATCAACCAAGTCAGCGAGCCTGACTCCCCGATACCCTTAGTCGCCTTTTACGACAAGCATAGTCACCTTTTACGGCAAGCATAGGTAGCTGAAGACCTATTCTACCCCGGAATCTTCACGGGTCCCAACCAAAAGGGCAGCCCTAGGAGAGTTGAGACAATCTCTACTTCAAGCAAATCAGTTTGTAGAATATTGGATTAGATTACTTTATCAATGGGGTAACGTTATATCCAAACCGGTTTATCTTCATCAGCCGACTTTGGCAAATAAGGATGTAATTGTTGGGCAGTTAATGTGAAGAATATATTATTCAAATACGGCTTCTTGTCATTAGGACTTTATCGGGATGTTGGTGATTTTAGCTATTTCTTGTCTTTATCTAACCCAAGATGTAGTGACAAAGACCATCAAATGTGGTTGGAGAATTTGAAACAAAATTCAAATTTAGGACTGTGAAGGTCGCTGAAGTGTTTTATTTGAAATGTATCTATCACAAGTATCAGTTAATGCATCGTATTTCTCTCTGCTCTTTCGGGTGTTCTGGTTACCGTTTAGTGACTGGGGGTGGTACAAAAGTTGGTCTTATGAGAGACTTTGCCTATTGTATACTTCCCTCACAGGAATCAGAGTACCGTGTGTGTCTGGTTTGTCCTTTCTATACTGATTTGAGAAATCCCTTTTACCGAAACAATATTAAATGTCCCTTATATATTTAATTTCACGACCTACCCTCCTCTCATAATACAACTTTATTATCATATTTAGCGCAATAATGTTTTTTAGCATTTCAAAACCGTAATACGTTTGTACGAATATGAGCGTATCTGTTGATGCCAATGTATCTGGATGGAGGTATTACCTGGGGCTCCCTTCAATGATATATAATGTAAATAGCGATTGTGTTAGGGGCCAGTGACTGAAATAAAGGCATTCACTCCTTAGCACTTTCTGGATACTTTGGTCTGTTCGAACCGGGGTCCCTAAAGATGCGTGGACTCTTTTGTTAAGTCAGGTCAAGTATACTCCAAAATAATGCCAGTCCCTGTCGTGTCTCAGTGGATTCATCCCTGATACTTTCACCATCAGCTGATCACCAGCGTCCAGCTGCACCAATCCATGAACATCACTGGAGTACTCCAGACTTGCTCCATCAATGATGCTGTTTTTGTTCTCGCTGATGACATTCCTCAAAACTGCTTCTCCATTTAGCTTCAGTGCACTGTACCGTGTTATATTATGATGAAAATCAGACTCAGCATCGTCATGATTATTTCTTTCTATGTAAAACTTGATGTGGCTATATACGGCATATACTCCAGTGGCGGGCACTATGATGATGCCATTCTTATACTTCATCCCGTTGTACAAAAGTTGTCTCCCAGGTCCGACAAAAGGTACCCAGTTTCTAATCGTAGTTTCCTCAGATGTGTCTACTGAAATGTAATATCGAAGTCACGTTTTTACTACACATTTTAGTTCCCTCTTAATAAGGTTTAATTATTCTGGAGTGAGTGAGTGTGGCTTTACGCCGCTTTTAGCAATATTCCAGCAATATCACGGCGGGGGACACCAGAAATGGGCTTCACACATTTTACCCATGTCGAGGATCGAACCCGGGTGTTCGGCGTGACGGGCGAACGCTTTAAAACACTAGGCTACCCGACCGCCCCACCAAAGCTTATGAATACAAGTATACAAATACAATTTGGTTGTAAATTATTCCCAAAGGTGGCTTCACAAAGAGTAGCAATCTGAAGAAACGAACTTGGTGATGAAGTATTCATTAATAATCTACAATGCAATGATAAAAGTATTACTTCATTGTAAGACACCATGTGCATGCTGTGATATGACATGGGTCCATGTATACCTTCTGTATAGCCGGTGAAGTCAAGTCCAGGGAAATATGCGATGGGTTTCAGCAGATTCAGAAAGGCTGGAGATGAACTCGGTTGTCCCTTGTCTGCAACAGGTTGACATATTTATACATAATTAAACATATATGTCTATATGTGTGTATGTGAGTGCGTCTTCAAATGAGACGAAGATATGGAGTCAATGCGAAAAGGAATGCGTTATTTAAATTAGCGTGAAATCCCGATAGTTCGGAAACTACTCGTTCTGGTGATGACTGTTGATTGACTGGGAACGACACTCCATGTATTAAGAGGGGTTCACTGTACACATATACACGAGAAGGGTGCAGACAAAAACAGAAATATAATCAAGGCGAACAAGGAATCGATCTAGGATCAAGGGTTTCTGGCACGCCTTATTGACGCAACAGCACACAGCTAACTGTGGCCCATTGGCGACGGTTAGTTCGTATCACTTTCAAAACGAACAAATTGAAAAGAAATAAAATTTCAGATTATTTTTCACAGTAAATATATTGATGAAAGAATTTGCCAAAAATATTACAGCACGAAAAAGAGAGAAACAAATGTTATCCTGTACATTAAAAGCAATTTATGTACAAAATTGTAAATGATTACAAATGACTTTCAAATCCAAGAAAGCGATTTCGTTTTATGCTTTACTGGCGCCCAGGGAGGGAACTCCTATCCGCCATCGTCCATACCGTTTGCTTTACAATATGGCGTGCCCGTGTTTATGTACGTACAATGTACATTTAAAAGAGGCGAATCCGCTTGAAAAATGTCCAGTTTCGTTAAAGATACGCTAAAAAACTGTGTGGGTGTATCCGCGGGCGTTATTTTTCTTGTATCATCAGTATCTCTAACAGTGACAAAAGTTGAATTAACCCCCACCAATGTTTTCTGTATTTTTGTTAAACATAAACGTTAATTAACTTATCGTAACTGAAAAAATTGTTCACGATTTTTATATATTTTATTTTTGAAAAAGGCCTATTGTATTAATCAGAAAACGGTCCAAAAATACAAATATAGTTTTTTTAATTTTGTGTTTCCCTATCAAACTGTTTCAGGGGTGCTCCAATCCACAAGAAAATACAAAAGTGTGGTCCATCTGTGTCCGCCGTAATTAGCATGATGTATACTGTGTGTTTTCCTCTATGGTTATTTCAATCATGGCGTCTGTGGCAGCTGTGTGTGTCGGTATATGCTCACCTGTTCCTGCAGTGGCGAACTTGTCCCAGGCTTTCTGCGAATGTTCAGCGTAGATCTATAGTAGAGAATTGATCGAGATAAAGCGACCCGGTAAGTTAGGCATTTTATTGATGCGTAGCTTTTATATAATCTTAAATTAATCTTATTCAATCAAGATGTTGCTTAAAAACTTTCGACCAGCTTTTTATTGGTGCATTGTCAAACGGATTTTAAGCATATCTCGCATTCAAATTCGGGTTGGTGAATTCGTTTGAAGTAATGAGGGATTATGTTCCATTATCCAGTGCCCATATCAGTCTTGATAGAGCAATCATGCTTATTACCATGACCCGTGGGGTGAGGTGAGGTGAAATGGGGTTTAACGTCACGTCCAAGATTATTGCACTTATATAGCGACGTGCATGTACGTGTGAGTGTTTGTGTGGCTGCTTGTACTAGTCCGGACTGAGATACCATGCCGCAGTTTAACATGAATATCCCACTCAGACACAGTATACTGACTCCGAGCCGACCAGTCCTTGTTTTGAGCCCCTTAATGCCGAGCAGCAGACAGGGTAACAACAAATACCATCTTTTAACGTCTTTTGGGTATGACGCGGCCGGGGAACGAACCACTAGACCACGGAGGCGGTCTCCATGACCCGTGAAGATCCGGGGTAGAAGGGTCTTCAGCAATCCATGCTTGCCCTAAAAGGCGACTATGCTTGTCGTAAGAGGCGACTAACGGGATCGGGTGATCAGGCTCACTGATTTGGTTGATGTATGTCATCGATCCCAATTGCGTGGATCGATGCTCGTGTTGTCAATCAGTGGATTGTCTGCTCCAGAATATTGCTGAGTGCGGCGTTAAACAACAAACCAAAGCTTATAACCATGTATTAAAAGAGGCCACTTCTTCAGTGCAGTCATGTCAATCTTGGACTGCAATAGAGATATACACCATATGTTTGAAACAGAATAGAGACAACGTGGGTTTTGATGAACGCTTGCTTTTTTAAACATTATTTCACTCATATCACGGAGTCGTCTTAATGATTGACGATTTTGTTCATATTGAGTGACGAGTACCATGTATCTGGCCATGGATCCTTATCGAGGAGAACTTAGGAATCAGAGGATACTGGCATAGTAAGGGTGTGTAACCCTGCGAGTTGGGGTGATAATCTTTAATGTAACTCTTACCCGCTCAAGCCGTTGCTTGAATATTTCCGACTGGCTGATATGCGTATCCGTCCTATGATCGTGGCCCTCTCTTGACGCAACAAGGCTGATAACTCCGATCCCCACAACTATGTTGAGTAGAAGTACAGTGGCAGCAACAACTTTAGGGAGTATGTCCATGATGAATGACGGAGTGGTGAGCCTTGCCTGAAGCAAACACGGGGTTAATGATACACAAGGTAAGCTTGTGACAGAGTGAGTTTAAAGTGAGTGAGTGAATGAGTGAGCCTGGCCTGAAGCAAACACGGGGGTAGTGATACACAAGGTTACCTTGTGACAGAGTGAGTTAAAAGTGAGTGAGTGAATGAGTGAGCCTAGCCTGAAGCAAACACGGGGGTAAAGATACACAAGGATACCTTGTGACGGAGTGAGTTAAAAGTGAGTGAGTGAATGAGTGAGCCTAGCCTGAAGCAAACACGGGGGTAATGATACAGAAGGTTACCTTGTGACGGAGTGAGTTAAAAGTGAGTGAGTGAATGAGTGAGCCTAGCCTGAAGCACACACGGGGGTAATGATACACAAGGTTACCTTGTGACAGAGTGAGTTAAACGTGAGTGAGTGAATGAGTGAGCCCAGCCTGAAGCAAACACGGGAGTAATGATACACAAAGTTACCTTGTGACGGAGTGAGTTAAAAGTGAGTGACTGAATGAGTGAGCCTAGCCTGAAGCACACACGGGGGTAATGATACACAAGGTTACCTTGTGACAGAGTGAGTTAAAGGTGAATGAGTGAATGAGTGAGCCTAACCTGAAGCAAACACGGGGGTAATGATACACAAGGTTACCTTGTGACGGAGAGAGTTAAAAGTGAGTGAGTGAATGAGTGAGCCTAGCCTGAAGCACACACGGGGGTAATGATACACAAGGTTACCTTGTGACAGAGTGAGTTAAAAGTGAGTGAGTGAATGAGTGAGCCTAGCCTGAAGCACACACGGGGGTAATGATACACAATGTTACCTTGTGACAGAGTGAGTTAAAAGTGAGTGAGTGAATGAGTGAGCCTAGCCTGAAGCACACACGGGGGTAATGATACACAAGGTTACCTTGTGACAGAGTGAGTTCAAAGTGAGTGAGTGAATGAGTGAGCCCAGCCTGAAGCAAACACGGGAGTAATGATACACAAAGTTACCTTGTGACGGAGTGAGTTAAAAATGAGTGACTGAATGAGTGAGCCGAGCCTGAAGCACACACGGGGGTAATGATACACAAGGTTACCTTGTGACAGAGTGAGTTAAAGGTGAGTGAGTGAATGAGTGAGCCTAACCTGAAGCAAACACGGGGGTAATGATACACAAGGTTACCTTGTGACGGAGAGAGTTAAAAGTGAGTGAGTGAATGAGTGAGCCTAGCCTGAAGCAAACACAGGGGTAGTGATACACAAGGTTACCTTGTGACAGAGAGAGTTAAAAGTGAGTGAGTGAATAAGTGAGGTAATATTATTTTATGCCTCAGTCAACAGTTCAGTTATATCGCAGTCACTCTTTATAATCAGCATGGTAACAATCATGCTTCTTGAAGTACTTTAAAAAATAAATATCAGCTTTATTGAATACATGATGAAAACGAAATATATGGCTTTCCTTATATGACATGGGTCTTCATATGCGACGCCATACGTTGAATCAGAATGAGTGATTTGAATTTTACCCCGCTTTAAGCAATATTACAGCAACATTACGGCGGAGGACACCAGAAATGAAAAGTATACTCGTCACTCATTTCTTAAGAATCGTTATCCATAAGGGGTGGTCGGGTAGCCTAGTGGTTAAAGCGTTGGCTCGCCACGCCGAAGACCCGGGTTCGATCCCCGACATGGGTACAGTGTGTGAAGGCCATTTTTGGTTTCCCCTGCCGTGATATTGCTGAATATTGATAAAAGCGGCGTAAAGCCATACTCACTCACGTTATCCATAAACATTATAACATAGTGAGATACAGAGGCACACAACTGATGTTTTGTTTCGATTGTGCAAGTACATACAAATATATTTTTACGACTTCGTAATTTCAGTTTTTTAATGAGCAAAACACAGAATGGATGGAAAATACCCAGTTTCACTCATGGCCTCAAGTCCTCACAGAGTTATTTCCCTTACACCACTTCAGCCAGCTATCCCACTGTGCAATATGTAGTTTTCTTGGGTCATATATGCTGTCGCAAGGGATACAAACTACAAAACAGTATCAATTTCGTGTTGTTTAATATAAACCCGATTCCGGTTCTTTGCTTTTCAATTTTACAGAAAATAAAGGACTATTGTTAACAAAGGCTTATACTTACAAAATAGAGCCTGATGACAAAAAAGGCAAATCTGCAGCCGGGGCTCCAGTAAACTCACATAAGATACCAGCGAATGTAGTCTGTAGTAGATCTCTTGTATGTACCGTTATACCAGTACGATTTTCACAGTGAACACACAATGAAGGATTTAGATTCATCAGGAAGAGTACCAGTGTTCGGCAAACAGGCTCGTTTGTGAAGTAGGAAAACAGCGGTTGGCTAAAATGAGTCTATGCGGGAAGTGGGGCTATGTAATCGGCTCAACATAAGAAATCTGACTTTCCTGAAAAAAGTGACACATCATGATACATTGTAAACCTAGCCCCATATTTTGAAGGAAGTCTTTCGCTTATGGGACTACTAATTTAGTGTAGGGGAGAGGGGGCTGGTGAGATTGAGCGTGAGAGGAGGTCATACAAAATGAGTGCTATTTATTTCAAATAAGAAAACGTATACATTTGAACATTACGTGGGGACTGGTCATTTATTACAGGGGGCGGGCATGGGAAGATGCTACATGTATTTGGGAGCCATAACAACATGTTACGTAACATTGGGGTGTGTGACCAACACATCACCTAAATCCCCTCCCTCGCCAATCCCCCCGCCCACCCCCATCCGCCTATAATGACTTACCAGTCTCAAAAGACCGTGTTTTAGCTGGCTGTAACTGTGCATCTGTGAGATAGCAGGCAATCTCATTAAAACTAGATATATGTTAAAAACAAAACAGACAAAAACTTAACAGACACAGTTTTATTGCATGCAATTGTAAAGGTAAATGGAAATGTATGTTTATAATATTTGTGCAGTATTTGGCACCCCTTCGTTGTCTGCAAGAAACCAAGTTCGCCCTGATTAAGTCCCTTGGTCTGTCAGCACTGAGTTCGTGGATTTCACTTAAGCCGTAAACATCTAAGACTTGCATGTCTTGGTCTTTCTACCGCCATATAAAACTGACATGCAATGATAAAACACATTTCGAAGCGGCATTATATCCAATTCAAGATCAATATCACTGAGCCGTTCCCATATATAATCTGTCGCTAAGGCGAACAAATCAGGGAAAAGATTAGTATATTATCCATGGCCATGTTCCACACACTTACAGTTCTACTGATGTTTTGTTATTTTCCTGACGTACACGTTGCTTCAAGATTGTGTCGGAACGTCAGTTTACCGCAAAAGAAAGCGGAATTATACCATTTTTTATACATGCCCGTGTTAAACGATAATTGCAAGTGATTCTATACTTGAAGTTTCCATAAACCGGAGAAAACTGAGGGCCATGTCCACTAACAGTGAAAGAGTGAGTTGGGTTTAACGCCGTTTTTAACAGTGTTCCAGTTATATCAAGGCGTGTCAGCTTGATGTGAGAGGAAAGCCCGAAGTGATACAGTTCTCAGACGTTTACCACTTCGGTGAAACCCTCGAGCACGGGTATGGTGCTGACAAACCTAGAAACATAATTGGGGCGTACCGGGATTCGAACCCACAATCATAGGTTTCTGGCGTGCCCAAGGGACGCAACTCATCACAGCGAATCGCTGCGCCTTAGACGACTGGGCCACTAACAGACTGTAACTTGATTGATGACATTTCATTTTGTTACCGACTTGTATCAAGGTTGTATTCTTATTTTTCTGCTTCAATTGATCTGTATAAGTGTGGATGTGGAGATTCAAAATAGGCTTGAAAGACACCAAAAAGTAACAAATTAGAGAAAACATTCTGCCATCTTGATTGCGTTTCTGTACACACGTCACATGTACACTGGTACATTCTATGTCCGCTTCAATCACTTTCATCCCATTTCTTCACCGACATCAAATGTGGCAATGTGGCGGCACAACTGCAATACTTTCAGCACAACACTATTCATGTTGGGATTTAAAACAATTATATTACAGAGAAGAAACGGACCATGTCAACAAATTCATGATTTGTAACAACTTTTGATGAATCTGTGCACTCAGTCGTTTGTTGTGCCATTTCCCAGAAATGTAGGAAATGTGTGATCAACTGATCGATTACCACAGATTCATATTCATAACAATACTCATGTGAGGATGCAAAATGTTTCTTATACACAACAGAAACCAGTCAAATAGAAAAACAACACATTTAGCTAACCTTGTTACATTCTTGTACACAACAAACAGCACATGGACAGGTAACTTCTATGTCCGCCTCAATCAATACAATCACATTACTTTTGACAGTTTAAATAAATATGTCACACTTACAAGTTTACACAATGTCATGTTTATTTTATTTCCTATGCGAGGGCGTTATAAATAAGTGACTTCTTGGAGTCAGTCATGGTGATGTCCACCCCGCTGACCACCTTCATGTTGACTGTGCAGTCACCTGGCAGCCCAACACTAAACATGGGGAGAAGAGACTCCCTCCACTCAACATCCAACTTGGCCAAAACAATCCCCCTGTCGAGATCGATGAAGCCGAGTCTCCCCCTCCCCACATCCAGCACAACGCCATAGTGGAGGGTGGCCGGTGTGCCGCGTGTGGCAGACATTGTGTTTCCGTAACACTCCCCCCACTCCCCCTGCTGACACACGGTGGTACAGAGACTCCCCCGGTGTGTGAGACAGCTCCCTACACTGACACACCAGGAGCGGCGCTGTACACAAACATACCACTTACGGTCCACCTGGCTCTCTTCCCCCACACCCATCTCCAGGACAGGCCAACACAACCCTCCACCCACCACACCCACCCTGGAGTGGGTCTCCCAGTATCGTGGTGTGTGGGGGGCAGGGGTGACATTAGAGGGGGATGGAGGAAGGGGGATGGGGGATGAGCTACAGGTGCCGCGGTATGTCTGTAACCTGCCGCTGTCTCTG